CATGTGGGAATAGGGAAGACTGTGGCTGGGACTCCGTGTGGTGGGAGAGTAACTGTACAGGCGGGGGTGGGCGGGCCACCTACCGAAGCAGTGGCGGCTCCGAGCGAAGCAGGCGATGCTTGTATTATCAGCATAAGAGCAGCCAAGGGCAGCGGAGGTGCGATCTCTTAACAAGAGGATGTGTTTTCCGCAAGCCCCGAGCTGATACAAACTCAAAGGCCTGCGAACGCATCGGGCGCTGTCTGCACTGTGCAGGAGGCTCTCTCCCAGGTGCCATCCCTTTGGGAGAGTAGCATGCTGATGGAAGAGTCTCAGCTGCAGCCTTCCCAGCTAGAGCCCTCTGTGCAGGCAGAACCTCCCCGGAGTGGCGGAGGTGGGAAAGGGACAGAGGGCCGACATTTTCCTGGTATCGACAATGACGATTCAGGCAGTAATACTACAGACATAGACACAGAATTTACAAATGTAAGAAAAAGAAAAGAAGCAAGGAAAAGTAAGCTAAAATCAAGAAGAGAGAAAATACAAAAGAAATAAAATCATAAAATGCTGGAATCCACTCTCACTTTCATTTTTCTGATGCTTTCAGTTACCTCCCTAAATGTTAATGGCCTCCGCAGTGAGCTCAAAATCAACGCCGTTCTGGGCTCATGGAAAGCCGACATTGTATGTCTGCAAGAGACTTGGTGGGGAGAAAAAACTGTGGATCTTGTCTCCAAGGTGTGGAGCGGGTCTGTTATCTCCAGTCTAGGTACTGCTAGATCCTGTGGGGTTGCAATATTGTGTAAAAAAATATAGTAAACAATATAGATGTAATATATAAAGATGAGGAGGGTAGGATATTGATTATAGATATCTCCTTAAATAATAATAGAAAATACAGAGTTATCAATATATATGCTCTGAGCAATGAAAACCAGAGGGGGAGGTTTTTTGCAAGTTTGGGAAAATGGATGTGTAATGATGTAATCAGTGTGGGAGATTTCAACGTTGTACTAACTAAAACAGATGTGTCTGTAAACAACGTATATAAAAATGATTGTAGCAGGACAAAACTGATAGATATAATAAGTGACTATAATGTCATTGACATATGGAGGGTTTTTAACCCAGGTGTGGGGGGTTTTCGAGGAGACAGGTAGTAAATGGCACTCTAAAACAATCAAGAGTCGACTACTGTCTTATCTCCTCTAGAATAGTTAGAGATTTAACGAGTGTGTCACATGTTTTTAATAACTGGAGTGACCATGCGTCGCTCCACATTAGATTAGGGGAGGCAAATGGTGTCAGAGGGGGAGGTTTGTGGTGTCTCAACGCCAGCCTTTTAGAAGATGAGGTCTTTAATGAAAAAATTAGAAAATTATTATTAAACATAACAGAAGAATTAGACGTAAATGATAATTATATACAGGGCTGGAATAATATAAAGGGAAGAATCAAGAAAGCCTGTATAAATTATAGTAAACAAAAAAGATGGTCGGAGCAAGTAGAGGAGCGCTCTTTGAAAAACCTCCTGTCCATTGAAGTACAGATGATGGAGGATGACCCAGACAGGAAGAGTGAAAATTATGAGCTATATAAAGCTAAACTAAAGGAAATAGAAATTAAAAGGTGCAAAGGGGCTGCCGTAAGGTCCAGGGTTAAAAACATAATGGGGGGCGAAAAATGTACGCCATTCTTTTTGGGGCTGGAAAAAAAGGAACAAAATAAAACAACTATTGAGTTTCTTACAAATAAAAACGGGGAGAAAATAACAGAACATGGAGAAATCCTGGATACAGTGCAGGAGTTCTACAAAAACTTATTTCAAAAACAGGTGTGTGATAGGGCACAGTCGGCGCTGTTGCTAGAAGGTATTGACAAACAAATCTCTCAGGAAGATAGACGCATATGTGAGGAACTAATTAGCAGGGATGAGGTGGAATGGGCTATAGAGGGTCTCAACAAAAATAAGAGTCCGGGAAGTGATGGTATTTCGGCTGAATTTTTAATTCACTTTAAGCATCTGGTGGCACCTTTACTACACAAACTATATAAGAGAATGCAGGTCAATCATGATACTCCGGACTCTTTTTCACAAGGCATTATCACACTCATTTACAAGAACAAGGGGGAAAAGGACAAAGTAAAGAATTACAGACCAATAAGCTTATTAAATACCGACTACAAAATACTCTCAAAAATAATTGCAAATAGGATCAAGGAGGTGGTGGGGTCAATCATTAGCAGTTCACAGGCATACAGTATACCAGGCAGGGACATTGCGGACACAATAGGGACTGTCAGAGACATGGTGGAGATAATGAACTCACAAGGTGGCATCTTAGTGGGCATAGACATGGAGAAGGCATTTGACAGGGTGGATCACAGGTTTTTGTGGGACACATTGAGTAAGTTTGGTTTTGGGGATAGTATCATCGGGTGGATTAAGTTATTGTATAAAAAGGGCACGAGTAGGGTGAAATGTTACGGGTCACTTACAGGGGAGTTTCCACTGGAGAGGTCGGTGAGGCAGGGGTGTCCGTTGTCGTCATTATTATATAGTATTGTCGTGGAGCCTCTGGCCATCCAAATTAAAAAAGACACTGGGGTTAAAGGTGTCCACACACCTGCAGGACAAGAAGTAAAAATAATGCAGTACGCGGACGACCTGAATATTGTGGCGGCCGATAGCAACAGCGTCGACTGTGCCTTAGAGTGCCTTAAAAAATATAAAGAGGCGACAGGGGCAAAGGTCAACAAAAATAAATCAGAAATCATGTTCTGCGGGAAGCAGAGCATGGTTAAAAACAGGTGGGGATTTAGGGAGGTAACGGGAGAGAAACAAGTTCTGGGAGTGTACATTGGGAAGGATTGGGACAGAGCGAGGGATAGGACGTGGAAGGAGGTTATACAGAAGGTAAAAAATAAACTTAATCTGTGGAGAACGAGGGGACTGAATTTGAGAGGAAAGGTAGTTGTATCTAATGCTCCAAAATTAACCATGTTTTGGGAAACTGTGAGCTGCCAATTTGGGCACTAAATTCGCTGAACAGCGCCATCTCCTCCTTTCTTTGGAGGAGTAAGGGAAACTCGATTGCTCAAAGAGTGTTAATTGCTAAGAAAAGGGAGGGGGGCTTAGGTTTGATTGACATAAGTGCCAAAAGAGACGCACTGAGGCTAAAATCAGTTAGCAGATTTTTGGATTCGACCCGGCAGTCCCCCTGGAAGGACTCGCTGGCGGGCCACCTGTCTGAGTACGGTGAGAGGAGTGTGTACAATCTCTGTGTCTCCTCTCCCAGAAAAGACTATAGTGGTCTGCCGGGATTCTACCAGGAGGTACTAGAGGCATGGGGCAAAATTCTGCCCCACCTCAGGCCAGAGTGCAGCAAAAAAGAACATGTGATGCAGCTACCTTTCCTCTCAAACCCGGCTTTTTTATAGGGGGGAAGGTGCTTGGTGAGCAAGTGTCTGACGGCTGCCGGTCTCACTAAGGTGGGGCAGGTGGTCGGAAGCACCGGGAATTTTGACCTTTTAAAAGTATGTACAGAAATGAAAAACAAAAACATATTATATAGGAGAAATCAGGTGGCCGAGCTGGGCCACAGGTTCCAGCAGAGCTTGTCGCAAGAGTGGCAAGGCCTACTCAGGGGCAACAGTGGTGAGGTGCAGGACGATGCCTTGGGGTTCCTTCTGTGCCTCAAAAACCCATCCGTCAATATAACATCCGTTAAAACCCAAGACTGGTACATCTTGGTAGCAAAAATCTTACAAACACCAGCATCCGTAAAACATTGGGAGAAACTGTTTCCCACCCGGTCAATTCACACTATCTGGCAAAACATAGACATCCCATTTATAACGTCCAATTCATTTCATTTAGATTTCAAAATCAGGCACAGGAGGATCTTCACGGGTATCGTCCTGCACCAAATCACAAAACATTTGTACAGCAGGACTTACTCGGTGTGTGGCGAAGTGGAGGAGGACCTGGAACATCTCTTCCTCCACTGCAGCGCCCACACCGGGCTGTGGGAGGGGGTCCGAGATCTTTTGGGGCTACACTGCAAATTTACAATGCTCACAGAAGAGCAATGGCAGTGGGCCCGGCTGTTTGGACTGAACAAAAAAAATAACACTAACAAAAACTTCATTAACATGGTCCTCGCCTTTGCGAGGCAAGCAGCGTGGAAAACAAGGAACTGTGCACTGTATGACCAAAAGGTCATCAACAGTCAAATACTGTTTACCAACAGCCTCAAAGCGCACCTGAGGCTATTGCATGGCGACAAAAAAGAATGGACTAAGAGTGCTCTGAACTTAAGACATTCCATGTTCAAGGAGCATGAGGAGGGCGAGGAGTGCTCGTTGGAAAAGTGTGAAAATATTACAAATAATTGTCTCATCTTTATGCATTTGTTCATTGCTGTTTAGTGTGTCTTATTTTATTTGTTCATTTCATTAAATTATTTGATTTGAGTTGGATCTTTTGATTTGGTTTATTTAACTTGCTTTTTTCATTTGTTTATTTCATTTATTTATTTATTTATTTATTTATTTATTGTTTATTTCATTAGATCTGGGTCTCTGATCTAGTTCATTTGTTTATTTTATTTATTTATTTATTTTGTTGGTGGCACTTTGTGATGGGTGCGCGCTGTTGGGCATTGGTTGGGCATGGGTGGATGCTGGGTTCGTCATTTGTGGCGCGTGGGTGCACATTGGTGTGTGGTTTGTGGACGCTCTCGGGGGTTTCTGGCGGTGCGGCCGGGGGGGGCGCGTTCGAGTCGGTGGTCGTCGGCGGCTCTGGTGGTGGGTGTGTGTCTTTGTTTGGTGGTGCGAATTGTAGTTGGAGGCTAGCGTTGGCTTGTCACTTGACACTGGCGGCTGGGGTTGCCGGCCCGCCCGCGGTGGCTGGGCCAACCTAGTCTAGTCTCGTTTAGCCGGGCGAGGTGGGTGTGTAGCAGCGGCGGGTCGGCTTGGCCGCCGCGGGTGGGTCGGTGACGTTGGTAGCGTCGGTAAAGTTAGTCGGGGAGCGAGGGCAAACACCTGCAGCTGCTGGCGGGCGGGCTGACGTTGGCTTTCGGCTGTGAGGTGTGCTGCCGGGCGGAGGCGCGTGCTCGTCGCTGGTGCCGCTGGCGGCCGCCGGCTCCGGTGTGCTTCTCCGTGCTCCCCTTGGCTTCACTGTCGAAGGCTTCTGGGGGTTGACGTGGATGTGGCATGGCGTCCTGCCTCCCGCTCTCGGCGCGTTGGTGGCGTGCTGGGAGGGGGATTGCTGGCTCGGCGTGCGTGTCCCGGGGCGGATGGCATCGTGGCGGTGGCGTGTCTTCATGGACCGCCCTTGTTCGTCTTCGTGCGGTGTGTTGGGGGGTTGCGGTGAATGTCGGTGCGGTGTTTTCTGTGTCCCTTTGTGTTGTGTCTCTTCTTCGTCTGTTGGGATGACTAGCCATTTTGTGGGTCTCGGGGCATTGTCGGCCTTTGTATCTCATTTGTGGATGCTTGGTGGGCCATGGGTGGTGCTCACTTTGGATGGGCTCGCGCGGGGTGCTTGATTGACGGGTGGTGGGTGCTTTGTGGCTGTGGGTTCCTGCATTGGTGGCTGTTTGTGGGCCGTCATTGGGGGGTGAATTTGTTGTGGGTTTTGTAGGGCATCTGCTGACGCAGTCACTGGTCGTTGGTGCGTTCTGGATGGTGGATATGCGGGTGCGTGCGGAGATGTGCAGTGCGGTGGGGAGTGGGACGTTTGAGGCTGTGGTTGTGGGCCTCATGGTGGTGGCTATTTGCAGCGGAGACATGCTTTGTGGATGATGGGTTCAGTATTTGCTGATCCATGGCTGGTGTGCTTATCGGTGATGGATGTATTTTTGGCTGTGTTAGTGGACTACGTGCTGGTGTGTATTCGTGCGTTGTGGGTGATGGGTTCGGTATTTGTTCGTGCTTGACCGGTGCTTGATGGTGTGTACTCATTATAAAGTGTTACCCTTTTTGTTTATTTAATTTGATCTGGGTCTGTTGATCTGGTTCCTTTGGTTTGTCGGAACACCTTATTCTTGTCTGTTGTGGTGATACTTTGCTTAATTTGAAATTTGTAAATAAGAAAAATGAGATAACATGTTAAACTGTATTTTTGATAATAAAAGATAAAAAATAAAAAAAGTACGCGCCCAATCTCGTCCGATCTCGGAAACTAAGCAGGGTCGGGCCTGGTTAGTACTTGGATGGGAGACCGCCTGGGAATACCAGGTGCTGTAAGCCTTTTCATTTCTCTTAGCAAACAGCAGAGGCTGCTGCTTCTTCACTGTACACAGAACGTTGTTCAGATATATTTCCACTGTTGTGTAATATTTAAGCTTTCCGTCTAGATGGAATTAATTTGATTCTACTATTGTTATTATCATTGTTGTTGTTGTTGTTGTTATCACTTGTCCACTGCAGGATAATATCTAAACTTCATTCATGAGGACATGTTGAATTTTTGTCCTGCACACCCTGTTAATGAATTGATTTTGTGGGACCTGATTTTGGGAGAGTTCAAGTCAGTAAATGCATGAATTAATACAGAACTAAGTTGGTCATCAAATCGTAAGTACATTAATAAACATCTTGAATGGACTCTAATCCCACAGAGAAACAGAATATGGTGTAACAACGTCTTTACAAGGTCCATTTGCAGGTGAAACTCTCGCTTACGACTATACCACCCTGAATCTCGGAAGCTAAGCAGGGTCGGGCCTGGTTAGTACTTGGATGGGAGACCGCTTGGGAATACCAGGTGCTGTAAGCCTTTTCATTTCTCTTAACAAACAGCAGAGGCTGCTGCTTCTAAACAGAACGTTGTCATATGATACAGTAGCAGCACTATTTGTAAGTGCACTGTCTACGTTGTCAACCTATCCAAAGTTACCATGATGTGTTTCCACACGCCACTCCTATCGGTTGCTGGATTCATTGGAAGAATCATTCAAATCAGAGGCTTATGGGGCTATTTCCCAGATCCTCACTGTACACTTAGCCCAGTTAGCTACGCTTAGCCCGGTCAAGAGACCAAACGAGCATTTCTTCTTCCTAAATAAAGAAAATTCTTCTGTACACCCAGATTCAGTTGAAATTCTACCCCTGCACAATCGAGACGGTTCTTCGAGATCCAAAAAAGGAGCCCTCAAGGCGTCAGGATGGCCGAGCGGTCTAAGGTGCTGCGTTCAAGCTGGGGAACACTCATCCGTCTGAGAAGGGGAAGAAGGGGAGAGAACGGGGAAGAAGAAAAGGAAGGGGAAGAAAAGAGGAAAAAGGGAGAAAGAAAGGGATAAATACATCATTTGTGTCCATATCTTCTTGATTAAGGTATTTTTGGAACCTTTTGATAATTTAAACACTTCGGACGGGATTCGAACCACCTACACTGGGAATGCTGTGTTCAATGTACCCAAGGGTACGTAGAACTGTCATTAACGTCACAGTTACATTCATTGTAATTTCTGCATGCATTCTCTGCTATTTTAAATATTCTAGGCTTACTAAGATTTCAATTTAGGCTTTTATTTATATGTAAAACTAAGAATAAATACTAAATAATTTAATATGTGAAATGTGTCATATAGGCAACATTATTAATGTAAATAATGAATAATTATTTGTTATCATTTTGTTTCCTACCTCTCCCACCTACCTGAAGGACTAGAATGCCCTCTGCAGAAGCTGATGTTGTGACTTGGATCTTTCTCTACATCTCCTCTATATCAGAAACCACCTCCCATATAATTTTATAGAATATTACTTGTCCTTTTCTGTTTGTGGTTTATAATGTATTGTCTTTTCAAGTATCAGATGTATTAATGAGGTGAAATTAACCTAACAAATAAATAAAATACCATCTTGCTGTTACCAAATGTCACATCACCACCATTATGACATTATTATCACACTTATTGTTGTTTTTAATGGACAAAAAGGAAGCAAAGAAAAAGTTTAGCTAAAAATGTAATTAAAACAGATTATAAAACACTTTAGAATCAAAAATACTGTTTATTTACAGTGAACACAGAACGCAGAATAACAATAAAACAGCACACGTAATAATAATTAAAAAAAAGAACAGAATAATAATAATAATAAAACAGAACAGAATAATAATAATAATAATAATAATAATAAAACAGAACAGAATAATAATAATAATAAAACAACAGAATAATAATAAAACACCTTTTAAACTATTTACAATAAACCTATTTACAGTGGCATTACTTTATCCTCATTTCCGCCAACCAGTCCTCTTTGGAAAGTGTTTCCGAATTAGGACAATAAACCCTGCCATGGGAATGGCTGTGCCCAGTCGCAGCAGTGTGGAACTGGCCACACTTTTTGCAAGTGTTGGCTTGCACCGTTCGCCTGTAAGGCCTTTTAGGAATGGCACCAGCTCCCTGTGTGTCTGCTGGTGCACCTATTTGTGGATTAGTGCCCTGACATGTTGCCACTACAGGTACAAAAAAAACAGCCTGTCCTGCATGCGCGATTGGGGTGCTGGGGTGGACCAAGGGTGCTAGTAGGGTGCTGGGGTGGACAAAGGGTGATGGTGCTGAGGGAGTGGCAAACAGCTGTCTCTTTGCTGCGCCTTTGGGGAGTAAGGGACACAGTGTCTGCCGCTGTTGTGCCTGACCAGCTGTGCTCTCCAGCAGCCGGTACTGGTGTTCCTGGCGTGCTGGAACGGGCTCAGTGGGGAGCACTCTTGCCTCCTGAAGAGGCTCTTCAGCCACGGCAAGGGCTGGAGGTAATGCCGTGCCTTGCACCAGTACAGAAAGCTCCTGCCTCTTTTGCCTATTATTGTGCCATTGTATCAGTGTGTTCTGACTGACTTCTACCAGCTGGAGTCCAGTTCTCTCCATCACCTGGGAGTTGCCAACCACCAACTGCCGGATCTTCCAATAGTCCCTGAGAATTAAGGACCACCGGAAATCTGTCCCCTTACCCTTCCTCACTGGGCTTGGGTACAGATAGCACAAATGTTCTCCACTATCCGACAGCAATCTGGCCACTGGGCAGGTGCAGTACTTGCACTTAGCAGGCAGCGAGTGGTGCTCTCCACACCAGGAGTTTTTGAGGGCTTCTTTGGTGTTCTAAAGCGACCACTGTCTTGGTGTCATGCAGCATAAACCACCCGCTTCTTGTCTCCTTCGTTCAGGCTCTCCCACAGGTGTACAATTGTGTCCACCTGCTGGTTGCTGAGGCAGAGTGAGGTCTGACCACATAGCTCCACCAAGTACTCAGCAAGCCGGTCTACATGCTGGTGTCCAGGCACATTCTGGTCATCGACAGCCTATGAAAATGAACAGAAAATAGAAAATTGCAATGTAAAACCTTCACTGACACTTTAATGACACTTATGCTGATGTAGTGGATTTAACGAAATATGTGATATGCATACATACTCTAAAAATAGTACTGAGAACTTTATTTTCTATACATATACATATTTTAAAATGATCATACGGCTATTTACCATAGTTTCATCTTCAGCCTCAGTCAATGAACTTGAAGGCGGAGAGGAGGTGCCAGGGGCCAGAGTGGTTCTGCCAGGGGCCAGGGTGGCAGTGGCTGGGGCCAGGGAGCAGAATCCAGGAGCCAGGGTGGTTCTGCCAGGGGCCAGGGTGGCAGTGACAGGAGCCAGGGTTGGTGTATCAGGAGCTTCTATGTCCAGCAGTGTGGGGTCGTCTATGAGGTCAGAGAAGCCCTCATCTTCCCCCACGTCATCCTCCACATCATGCTCTTCAATGAGCTGAGCTGTCACCTCTGAATCAGGGTGCATATTCTGCAGTGCCTGACCAGTCTGCCGGAACAGATACTGCACCCCTATGAGCTCACCTAAAACAACAGATGATAAGTTAATCAGGCAAGGCACTGATGCATCAACAGTTTTTGTTTGGCATAGTAATACTGATGTACTGCAATCACAGGTGTATTATTGTAAAGTATTTCACAATTGCTCCGAACACGGCTCTGCCAAACATAATGAAAACAGATTTAAATGACCAATTTTTCCACAAATTCTTACCAGTGTAACGTAATGGTGGGCAGAACTCTGGTGCCACTTTCCTGCCGAACAGCCTCTCATAGTTACTGTTAATGCAGGTAAGCAAGTCCCCTGAGTAACTGCGCAGAGCAGATGGTCCTGTACACAGGACAGCACCACCACTGTCCTGGTTCCACCTGTGTAGCCCTTCCAGCAGTTAAACTTGGAAGTTTAGGCTATTGGCAGTAGTCCCTAGAAGTACAATGACATATACATAAAATATTAAATAGGAAAATATTCTTGGACATCACAACACATGAATCAGCATGTCTGACAGGCACAAACCTGGTATGAATCTGTTGAGGTGTAAATGGAAAGACTCCAAGGACGTAGAGCCTCTGGCACACCGGAACATAAGTAGCCGCACACCTCCCTTGGTCAGCTCCCCTGTTCTTGTGTACAGAGCTACACCTGGCGGGTCTTGGATGCACTTCAGCTCAATGCAGCTCAATAGTGGTGTCCTCCCCACGGGTCCTCCGCCGGCAATGGAGAGCCAATTCCTCCCTCGACAAATGGCGGTCAACATCAAGGCCCTGGGACTGAAGCTGCTGGGATTTTGCTTCACGCAACAGAGCTAAGTCAGCTGCATCCCACTCAAAAATGCAAGCTGACAGGCGAGACATAAAGAGTGGGTACAGCTGATGTGCATCTGTTGTGCATCCCAGGGCCAGCCGGCGCATGAAGTGCCAGATATCCAGCCTTACGATGAGGTCTGGCCACCCGCTGAATCTGGCCTTCAGCTTGGTCTCCTCAGCCGCAGCAGCACAACAGCCACAGTCCACGTAAAGGGCAACAGGGGGATCCATGCCGGCCCGCTGGTACCTCCTCACCAGGTCAGCTGCCATCGGGTCCAGTCCAGCTCCCTCCTGAGCGGTCAGCACACTCATGAGTATCTGCCCATACTCATTGCCCACGGAGGTGAGCCAGAGTGCTGTCCCCTTGGCTGTCCCGGCAAGCTTCTTAGTGATCTGAAGCACACAAAATGTATAGAGAGAAATACGGAAATACTGACTGGAAGTAGTTAATGCGTGTAGCCTATTTTAAAGTAAATAATATCTTCAAACCTTCTTGGTTGAATCCATCTTTAAGATGGTGCCAAGCATGGATGTCAGCTTGGCCTTGATGTCATCCAGCCTTGTCAATATGTCCTGGCTGTACACAGACAGGAGCCACTTGCAGCTTGGCACCACAGAAGGCTCAGGTGGCTCAGGGAAGTTCATGGGCAACAGTCCGGGGCGCTGGAGGAAGGCCACGCACTCGGTTGTGTACCGAGCCACACGGTTCAGCCAGTCTTCCTTGTGGTTTTCCTTCAGCTGTAGGGCTGTTGCCCAGGCCTCTCTCTTGCAGCAGCCGGATCACCCGAATATCACAGCCAAACCTTTTTCAAAGACAAATATATCAGTAAGAACGTATGAAATTATTAATCTGATTCTATTTGGCAAGGTAAGACAGAAAAGAGATGCCACTCACTTTTGAGTCAGGATGGCTCTAAATTCTGACCTGTGAGCCAAGTCCAGCTGCATGAGGACAGTCTGGCTCCATGGGAGGCTCTACATTTGGTGCAGGTCAGAGTCTCAGTCACCATGTTGTAGGTCCTGTCCACGTCCAAGACCCGTCGTGACCTCTTGTGCAGCCCTGCCCCAGTCAGCTGATTCTGCCCACAAGCGGGTTTGGGACAGACCACCCTCACCTTCCACAGCTTGTATGGCATCCAAACACGCAGTGGGTGGGCAAAAAAGCAGTCCGGAGCAGGGGCCTGGTGGTACAGCTGGCTTGGCTGAGGTGGATAATACCAGAGCTTCAGGTTGTCCTGGAGCTCCAGCTTCTCCTTGGACCCCAACCTGAACAGCCCCTTGGAAATCCACCTGTGGTCTTCAGGTGGCAATCCCTCTGACCACAAACGGGGCAGCAGAGGTGCTGATGCAGGCCCAAGGTGTTGTGGTGCTGTCCTGGACTCTGTATTCTTTGAAATAACAAAACAATGTATAGCCACTTTACACTGCTGAAAGACACTGCTGAATGAAGCTCTACATATGAAAATGTAGACACTGTGACGGTCCCCTGTGTGGCTCTAATGTTTCCTCTTCCTTTTAAGGCAGCAGGTACTTGTGGGTTGGACCAATCGGCATAGCCGGAAGCACCTGGTCCCGGTGTTTCCCAGCTATAAAAGCCCCGCCTCTCTGGCTGACGGTGGCTCTCTTTCTATCTTATTATCATTGCTGGTATTCCGAGTAGTTGTGTTTTAACATCCAACATTTACTTTTCATTATACATCACACTCATGCATACACACACTTTCACTACTGATATTACTGACAAACACACCTCATCTTCTATTTAGTTATTTTTCGGGTTGCATTTAGGTTGTTATGTTTAAATAAATTACTTATAATTTGTCCTTTCAACTGCGTCTCCTCGTTTTTGTCACGGCTTCAGAGCCAGGTCGTGACAACACACACACTGCTACATCAGGCACTGTAGCTTGAGCCTCTGTCTGGGGGTCTGGAGTCTGTAAAGGTATGCCAAAGAATACTCACATTTGTTGGAAAAAACACTATGGATGCTATACATATTATGAAACTGCTTGTAGAACTAAAAATGCTTGAGCTGTATTTAAAAAGGTAACTCACTGAGATGGCTGAGCTGGCTGGAGAACTGGCACTCTCCTGGGTGTCCGGGACTGGTAACTGTAAAGTATTGTCTGAGTAACTTGTATTAAGAACCCCCCTTTAAACAGTTTCAATTTGATCTCTTCTTACCTGGGTCACCCTTCTGGCTACACTTAAATTCGGTCTTGCTGCAGAGACGTGGGTGCCACCGAATTTTGACTTGGTAAACTGAAAAATAATATAGACAAAGGCCGTATCATGAGAGAAACATATTGTCAAACTATCATTCAATGAATGAAATGTAAAATATTAATGGTCTTTTATGAGTGTCAATAACTATTATGAGTTTGAATAATTACCATTGACAAATGCAATGATGGCGTCTGAACACTGCGGCCTTGGACTGGAGCATGACTCCCTGCAGCAGCAGCCTCTGGTCCAACCGCAGCAGTAACCTGCGGACTCCTTGCAGCAGCAGCCTGTGGTCCAACCACAGCAGCAACCTGCAGACTCCCTGCAGCAGCAGCAACCTGCAGACTCCCTGCAGCAGCAGCAACCTGCAGACTCCCTGCAGCAGCAGCAACCTGCAGACTCCCTGCAGCAGCAGCCTGTGGTCCAACCGCAGCAGCAACCTGCAGACTCCCTGCAGCAGCAACCTGCGGACTCCCTGCAGCAGCAGCCTGTTGTCCTGCAGGCCCTTGTCCAACATTTGCTCTGGCTGGCTGTTAACAAAATTGATACACCACTAGTTTTAGTTTGTGTACTGATTTGAGTGCAGCACACACACGTACATGCACACACACATTTTTAATTGACCAGTGTTACCTTCTGAGTGTGGAATCCACACACATGTGACTTGGCCAGGGAACAGGGACTTCTGTCCAGGTCTCGTCATTGGACATTTTTCAATCTACAAGTAACAGTTGTACGTTTCATTGAGTTGAGCATGGAGTAATTATATTATATAGTATATATATATATATATATCAGGGGTTAAGCTGCAACGTAACTCCAGCCAATACTTTTCCATGAACTGGTGCAAAGGGATTGAGAGAGGGATACATTTAAATTACAGTAGCCAATTTAAAAAATTACAAATTATGATAAAATAGGAGACAATGATCGTTTATCAAAAACAACAGCAACGTTACCGTTATTCATAGCCTACTGGATGTTGACAAATGTTTGCTAAGAACAGAGATATTCTAGTCAGAGTTTTTCCCCCCACGTATGCCGTTAGAGCTAAATAAATCGATTTGACAACATCACACAATAGCTAAAATTATTTGTTTATTGTAAATTGTATGTGCAAATGCCTCATTAGCCTAGCAAAGCCTATCAGCTGACTGCAGTCAGATAAGGTAACGTTAAGTTATAACGTTACCTATGAAAACATAATAACAACACCACAGGACAAGTGAAGTTATTTTCTAACATGAAGTTATATCATCAAACGCTGTCGCAAATATATGCATACTCACCATATGACAACTTCAACCACGAATGCTTTACTTAGCTTGTTCCACACTCTAACGCGAATGTGAACGCCTCCCTCAGGTAAACGCAGCAAGTGCTTCATAATTCTCGCCCATGATTGGTCAAATGTTAAGAGTCTGGGAAGAATGCAACACGGAGATTGGCCAAGAATGTTACAGAATGTTGCCGCTTCCCAAACGCGGTTGGTGCCATTGTTCAACATATCCCCGGATGATCCGACGGCAGCTCGCGTTCAGGTCGCAGTCTCCCCTGGAGGCGTGGGTTCGAATCCATGAACAAAGTTACCATGATGTGTTTCCACATGCTACTCCTGTTGGTTTCTGGATTCATTGTTTGGTGAGCTGATCCTTTCAACAAATATCCCAGCTCTTAGAACCGACTCGTGGCCCACCCTCGGGGCTGGACCTGAGTTCCAGGCCTGCTCCACTCCCCGCAACACGGAGTCATGGGTCCGGGTCAGAAGTGTGCGGCGTGCTAAATGTTCCAGCCGACGAATCGCAGCTGACACTCTCTTGCTGAGCAACAAATTCCAAACTCTGGACAGTGGGGATCAACTGCGGCTTCCAGGGAAGCGCAAGCTGAGTGAGCGCCCATCTCCTGGCCAGACCCCCGCTCCTGACGTGGTGGCTGATGGCTCCCCTACCACCACAGATCCAGCCTTGGTCCAGCCACGCTCTGCCTCCAACACAGCAGAGGGTCCCCCGCCTCCCAGGTCCGGATTGGTGCTAGTCGAGATCGCCTACCTTCTCCTGTTCGTCAGGACTGACAGGCTTGGCTCATCCGTCTACTGAGTGCTTTAAACAAATCAATAAAAGTTGGTCGTCAAATCGTACGTACATAAATAAACGTCTTGAATGTATTCTCACATTCTCACACACATAGACCCTAATGTCTATGCATGTATTTCTGTATTAGAGAGAGTGGCTGAGGTCTTTCCAAAATGGCTATCAAAATAACAACCCCTCCGCAGTTTAAAGCCGACGTTTGGAAGCAAGTTAAAAAAGATAGTAAAAACAACAAGTTGGATAAAGATAATGCCGTTTGTAAGCCTTGTCTCGCTGCCGTGAGATATTGTGGGAACACAACGAACTTGCGAGTTCACCTAGCAAGACACCACACTGAGATATTAATTTCAGCTGTCCCACTCGGGGCTCCTCAGAGTACACCGAGCTAAACGGAGGGGCACGTACAACTCGCAAAACAAAGATGGCTGCGCCCATATTGAGATGTATTTTCTTTGTATTTGGAGGCTCGAGAAAAAAGCAACAGCAATTGTTGAAATTGAAATAGGCGAAAATGGCAACAAAAATATTGAAATGTAAGACTTGCAATAACGGAATTACTTGAAATGTTAGTGTTTCTGTAGAAAAACATTATTATTTCACATTGAGCTTGTTTAGATGAACACAAACAATAACAACACAACTGCTGCACTGGTGGCGTCCATGTTCTGTTAAATTAATAAAAGGAAATTAATAATTAATAAATTAATAAAATGGAGAGGCTGTTTTGAATGAAATCACTTTGACTCAATTTGTCCTCTGATCACTATCATCTGATGTGCATATACAGGTACTTGTGTTTTCATCTCTATTTATATCGCGATACGTATCGTGACCAAAGTATCGTGATACGTATCGTGAGGTTCTTGCCAATACTCACCCCTAGTAATGATATAGAATAATTAATCAACCAAAACTTTTACACGACATGACACAAACTCTTTTTCTATGCCTCATTTATTCATTATTTTATTCATTACCACCCACACTCTCATTTATGAGTATTGTAAAACATGGAGATGTATTATTTATTGTTTTACTTAACTGTTAAAGTATTCAGAGATGATGTGACAATGACAACCATGAAAATCCCTCTGCAAACACAAACAATTTTTAATCATTGAATCACCTATCACACCACCTATAGTGTCTCATCTTAAATGAACTATCTGTGTTTATGCCTCAACAATAGAACTATATCATTGATGACACTTGATCGAACAGGGATTTTGCTGACAAGCTTTTGAAACGCCGGCGACTCGACTGTAGAAAGAGGCAAAGCATCCTCCCTGACATACTCAGCCACCAGCCTTCTCACTTCACGTGGGTCAAGCATCTTCACCTCTGGTCTGGAGAAATCTAACTTTCGTTGTTTAGACTTGCTCGGTCGTTTAGCCGCTAGCTTAAGGTTGCTGTGCACTCTCTCCAGGTGTTTCATGAGGTTACTTGTACTATTTTTAGCCGTGGACAGTTCCCTCGGCCTCCCACCAGCACATAAAGTGCACCTTATTGTGAGGTTCTTATCCATTTCTGTGACAAATTCAAAATAGTGCAAGTATAACCACTTAAAAAACGTTGAATTATCAGTTGTTGTTGTTGCCATCTTGCCATCTCCAAACAAACCGTCTTCTTCTTCTTCTTCTGTTGATTTAAAACCATCTTCTTCTCCTCTTTATTTATGGCTGTTGCGCCTGGGTTGTTTTTTCGAAACCTCCGCCTGTGCGACAGCTCGGATTGTAACGCGTTACCGGACTCAGTAACTGTAATAATATTACCAAAATATAGTTAGTAACGCGTTATATTACTCCGTTACTGCCTAAACGTAATATATTATGCGTTACTTTAGTTACTTTAGTAACGCGTTACCCCCAGCACTGGTACTTGGATAGGAGACTGCCTAGGAATACCAGGTGCTGTAAGCTTTTTCATTTCTCTTAACAAACAGCAGAGGTTTCTGCTTCTTCAGTGTACACAAAACATTGTTCACATATTTTCCTTTTCAAGACAGTGTTGTTGTATAATACATAAGCTTTCCGTCTAGATGGAATTCATTTGATTCTACTATTGTTATTATCATTGTTGTTGTTGTTGTTGTTATCACTTGTCCACTGCAGGATAATATCTGATCTTCATGTATGAGGACATTTTGAATTTTTGTCCTGCACACCCTGTTGATGAATTGCTTTCGTGGGACCTGATTCTGGGAGACTTCATGTCAGTAAATCTCATTCTATAAACAGCAGCAAGAATGGGCATGTCCACTTCATTGTACTCTTGTTGGTAAGTAATATAAAGTTTGTAATATAAATGTATCAGTAAAGTTGATACCACTCAAGTATCTTATATGGAATTGTTAAATGGGAGAATGGAATCCAAAAAATTATATAATTGATGACCACTAATGGAAATATGCTGTGCACAATATTCCCCTGTTATCTGGAAGAATCAATATTAAGGATGCTATTCTAGAATTACAGCCAATATTGACTATTTTTTCCCTTGCTTGTTAAATGTTACATAATCCAGTTACCTGTATTAGTCAGCCATTGTATTTCCACTGTGTTATTATCAGTATTTTATTTCAGGTGATGTTGCTGTCGGAGAGGGAGTGATGCGGTCCTTTATGACAACAATGATATCCAAACTCCAGTTTGGATAAAACAGCTTTTTTTAATTTTATTTTTTTTGAAGGAAAAAGCTAACTTTTTCAGATTATCCTTGCTTGTTCTAACACGCTAAATAAAAGCCAGGGTTGGACAACAGTCTCCTATGATTCTTGATCAAATTTGCAAAATCTCTCCATATAATCTAAGTGCATCAGTTACAGAAACTCCTGGAGCTGGCAAAATGGCAACCTCTTCATCTGAGAGTTCACGGGCCAGCTGAACCTTGGAGACTGACACTGCGCCTCCATGAAGACTGTGAGGTCCGTTCCAGTTGATCCCATACTCTTCAGGAACCTGAATGGAGGACAAGCATGATCAATCTTGTACTTAAAACTAGTCTGACATGTCATTACACAAGATTGTTATTTTTGGTCACCTATTCAATTCAGTTTTGTAAAATAATACAGTTGTGCATAGTATGCACCGTAGAAACTACAGCTGAGAGGTTGATCTGAGACTTTGAAGAGACTCTAACCTATGTTTCATTTAAAGTATTTTCTCCCATAATTCCTTTGGGGAAACAGACAGTTTAAAAAAGTGTTTAAAGTTGATCGTTCTTTAACCTCACTAGGATCCTCCATAGGGCCTTGCTCTCTGTATCTTCTCCAGAGTTGCTGTGGCGACTGATTTCTTTCAGTTCTAAGACCATGAAAGTCCCAAGCATCTCGGAAAGAGTCAAAGCTTTGCTGAATTAGTGGAAGGAAGATCCGGTGCAGTGCGAAACGATGGACTTCATTGTCTGGATTCAGTGTTCCCTGATCTTCCAATGAAGTGAAGATCTGATAGAAGAGGTCCAGGGCATGTTCATAAACATCTTTCCACATCCTCTTTATTCTGTGTTTAGGATAAAATTGACAAATTGTTAATTTACATGACATATGCTAAAGTACATTCAACTGGTACGTTTGTTTACCGCTGATTATGGACACTTCTGCCTGTGATGTGTGAATTCCTGTCGGTATCTCTGCTTCTGATCATGAATTCTGCTACATCTGCATTCTCCCCCCCTTTATCAGACCGTTCCCTTGATGGCAGCCCATACTGCTCAGCAGTGATAATGCTCTGTAAGACCGTATGAGCTCTATTATTGCCAACAGTCATGTAGACCAGGTAGACCACTAAACGACTGAATCCATCCACCTCACCATGGACAACAAATCTCCATCTGTCAGCCAATTGTGAACACATGAAAAAGAACAACTTTATTGTAAAACAATTCTAATGAAACATCTAGAAAGATGCATTGTATATCTGCTAATATCACTGACCTGATGAGCTTATGGTTGCCATCTATATGCCACAAAGAGTTTGGGCCAGGAACAGAATACTACCGTCGTCTTAATACACGCAGCCTCAGACGTCTCATGTAGACTCCCTCTGCATCGACTCTGCGTAAAGACTCTTGCAGTCTTGAGACTGAGAGGAGGAAAATAAAATGAATGACCACACACTCACTGGCTACTTATTTTGAGGAAATAGTGGTGTCATAATAAAAGACATGATGTGTGTAAAACAGTTAACTATTACAGAACCACCACAGCCTCAAAAATGTACTGTACTGTCAGATATTGTCCCTCTATTCATATATAAAAGATCCCACATGCTCGAGCTTTACACTGCTGACTTGTATCGTCAGAACAGACATGACCTGAGATTTTCAGCCTCCTATGATTATATCCATTTCTATGATTACATTATACCCTTTGCAGCAGGGGCTGGGGTGGGGGCACATCCGGACAGCTGATAATATTACTGTCAGATATTGTTCCACCTCTATTAAATAGGAGGCTAAAAATCACAGGACATGTTCTCAGAGGTGACGTCTTTCCACAAGCGGGCTTCCTTGACCTTTCAAAGGGGCAGAGCTCCGCAATAAAGGAGACATATTATGGCCCTTTTCAGATTCATAATTGTATTTTGTGGCTCTACTACAATGGGTTTAGATGTTTTAATGTTATTTTTCTCATACTGCCTACAGCTGAGCACCTCTTTTCAGCCTCTGTCTGAATCGATCGGTTTTAGCTCCTGTCTCTTTAAGGCCCCCGTCCCAAAAAGCCCAGTCTGCTTTGATTGGTCGGCATTATGACGCGGATGACGCTCCGGCCCCTCCCACTTCCGCCTCAGCGTTGCCGGTGTTTTGGCAGGTAGCTCTTCACTGCTACTGAGTTTAGCTGCATTTCTACCGTCAATATTAATTCAATAGCTGCTTCTAAACCAAAACTTCTCCACCGGACATGTAAGAGCGGGAGTCCTGAACTTGAAATCACAGAGAAATGAACATCAAATATCCCGATTACAGCTATCTGTGACGTTTTCCTCAGGTAAATACTGCTATATTAATTATATATATATATATTAATCTCTGTCTATCACATAATGTTAGTGTTTATACCTTAACTATGAGAACAAACACTGTGTTTTATGCTTGTCTTTCCAGGTACAGCAGTGAGCAGTGACCTACAGTCTACACAGCCCAGTGAAGTTAAACATATTATATATTACATAATATTAACAACATTAGTCAAGTAGTTGTTTCTAGTGAAGAAACACCCAGTAAATGTACCAAAGTAATCGTCGAGTAATAGTATGATGATTACTGTAACCTCCCATCTGTTATATTCTTTATACACATTTCTTTACTGAGACCATGGAAACTTACCATAATGAGGCAGAAACCTGCCTTGAATACTGTATCATTTACAACATGTCAACATAACTGAAGGAATTACTCATCTTATAAAGTAACTTGTTTATGTGGTTTAAAAACTGCTAAGTAACCAACTGTGGACAGTACTGTATCCATATTTCATAGTCTGATATTTTAACTTAAAAGTATTATTACCAAAGTTAACCTTCAGATATGTGTAAAAGCTGCAATTATGTTTGAACCCCATTAAAAATACTGTATACTGAATATTCTATCATTTATATTATATACTGTATTATGATGTCATTTATCTTCCAATGTAATAAAGTTTGAATGTGAGACAGTAATGTATTGTGTTGCTTACATTCATTAATACAGGTTTAAATTTCACATTTTCATATTGATAGATGACCAGATTTTCAACTCTTTCAAAATCTTCATAAAACCTTTGTGAAATAACCTGTTATTTATATAAAACCACACTTATTACTGAATTTAAAAATGACCAAAATTCTTCTTAAAAATAAAACACTTTATTTATGTTTCATTCATATTCCGGTTACACATGTTGCAAGTAAAGCTAGAACTTTTATGTAAACTGTGCAGACTATGTCCTACATCAAGGTTTATGGTTTCTAGTATATTGAAGTGTGAGCTGGTAATGGAGCTCTGCAGTCAGTGTTCATCTTGTTGAGTCTTCCTTTGGATACCCAGACTGTCCTGATGCTGCAGCTGTCTCTGTCCTCTGATCGGTCCAGGAACACCTGAGCTTCATCAGGTCACCTGTAAAACAAGGCAGATTCAGTGTTACTTGTAAGGCAGCACATAATATACAGTGTAATATAATATACAGTGTAATATAATACAGTATAATATAATACAGTATAATATAATACACGTATAACAGCTCATTGTGGCTCAAAGTAGTCCTAAGTTATAAAATAAAATAATAAAGCAGTGTCTCTGGTGGGTTCCTTGTTGCAGCTAACTGTAGTGATGTGTTGTTGAAACAGTCTGAGGTTACCAACACAATGTCTATCTAATGGCAGCAGATACACACACAGGACATTTACTGACTGTAACTGATGTTGGAACAAGTTCCCGGTGCAATAACAGACATTTAGCAGTGAGCCTCAGTGTTTATAATACAATAGGAGATGATATGAGTATAGGATGTTACACTGGACCTACACTTATATCGTCAGTAATAGCAGTACTTCAGTAATGCTAAATAAATGGATCAGAAAACTTTTATTCATCGCGGTTTGACTCCACTAAACAACCTAGAGAGCAACCCCAGCTGCTGGGTGCTAATCAAAGTTACACAGTAATACTAAACTAATGAATCCCTGCAGTTTGACTATTTCTCTCTCACTGTAGCTCTATTGTTAACTCTGGTGCACGTTGATCAAGTTAATTTACACACCGTAACACACACACACACACACACACACACACACACACACACACACACACTGTGCTAATCAAAGCTACAATCTTACCAAACAAATTACCTGTGCTGCTGAATTCACACACACAGTAGTACAGTGTCTTCTTCTGTTCACAGCTGTATTGATCCACACTGAACAACAGATACTTAGCTACCCAGCAGATGTGTACCAGGTTAAAGACAATTCAACCTAACTAACGTTATCTTCCCTGTTCTAGTGCAGCTCAACGAGCTAACAGCTGATGTTTTCTGCTCTTTCTAACAGCAACACAAACATATTACTTACTGAGCATGTTTAACAAAATACAGACGAACATAAAGCCAATAACCCCCGGACACAAAACCCACAATAGTCACGGAGTCCCCCCCCGCACGAAGCTTGATGATTCACAGCATAAACGTTGTGTGAATCTCTATAAAAAAAATATCAGCAGGGGAGAATATGGAGACATCTGCACCAGCTGGCTTAATTAATTAACCTCACTTTATAAGTTTCATGTTCATCTTTTAACATTTAACAAACATTTAACAAACATTTAACAAACAATAACTACGTTAGCTTCACTGAGGCTCCTGTAGCCAACAACTGTTAGCATGGGCTAGCATTACACGAACAATGAAAAACAGCATCAATTCTTAAAAATACTTCCAGTTACTTCCTCTGCCGTCTCTCCACAGACAGTTGGTACAATCCCTCTTTCAGGAACAGTCTTTCAGCTGACTCTAGCCGGACATTGCCGTCAAAAATAAACATAAATGCACTGTGCTCATACATATGTAGAGATTAGTGTTGGGCTGTGCAGCCAATGACTGAACAGTTTGTCTGCTGAAGCCTTTGCCCAGACATCAGGCTGCAGGCTGCAGGCTGCAGGCTGGGCTCGCTTGCTGGTTTTCTGTTAGCTTGCTCTTTTAAAGTAACAATGGCGGAGCTCCGCTAGTCAACAAGGAAGTAAACTGCGGTGTGTGGCAACATGCAGGTCAAAGGTTGGAATGTGCCCGAAATGACATCAAAAACTATGAAAATCTGAAATTGAGTGATTTATCTCCTATATTCTGACTGAGGCAGCCCACAAAAACATGACTGAGTCATTTTTTTTCACACTTTGCCTGCTGATAGGCCCTCCAGAGTCCCAAATGTACATAATCAAATGATTAAAAAGTTGGTTTTGCATAATATGTCCCCTTTAAAATACATTTAAATAATGCCCATATTATTATACTCACTTGGAACACGCACATCTCTTGCATTCAGATGACCACGCATTAGCTTGTAGCTGGTGTTTGGATGTCTTCTGTGAATTTCACTTATTTAATATGGTCTTACTCCTCAGCTGAATAGAGGTCTTTTTGCACAAACAAAAACATTAACATCAAGTAATGTTACCTTAAACGTAATATCCTTTCTGAGTGGGTGAGAGCGGCAATTCATAAACTGAAAACTCATGAATTTAGTGTAAATACCTTAAACCATTTTGTTTCATGGGCCTCCTGGTGGTCCTCTTTGACACTCCGAACGTCACTGCAATTTGACCAGTGGGTAATCCACAAAGAACTTGATGCTCCACTGCACTCGGTATGTCAAACACTCCCTGTGTGTGTTGGGCCTGATGCGCCCTGGTACCAGAGAAGCGGTGAACTACTTCTTCTAAATCTGCAGTCACTCTGTGGTCAATATCTTGGTCGGAAAGTGCGGAAATAACTCCAAGAACGTCAATAAGTGCCTCTGCTTTACTCGCTACATGCTCTGGGTCAGCAGGTCCTCCTTCTGCATCCTCTGCTAAGTCTAAAGTGTCTCTCACCGGCTCCCTAGAAAGTTCATGAAGATCCTCCATCGTCTCTGTTCAGGCACTCAACTTCAGACCACAGCAATGGATCAAACTAGATTAGCGTTAGCCCCACCCACTGACTTTGATGGGCGAGTTTGACAGATAAAATATATTCATGAAGCACTGCAACGCAGGACCATGAAATAATTAATTAAATAATGAAATAATTATATATGTTTTTTACATAAAATTAATTGGTATGAACACATGTATGTATTTAATTCAATTTTTAATTAATTAATGACACATTTAAGTAATTATTTAATGACGTATTTAATTATTTAATTTTGGCACATTTAGTCCTCCACAGTTCTTTACTGACTGTATGAAAAGAGGAAAGCGGCCCAGTGAGATTCGTATGCAGCAGATATTTGTGCTACGCCTCTGCAAACACTTCTGTCCTCTTGCGACTTGTATGGGTTAAAGGTCAGTTAAGACAGAAGAAAATGCTGAATAACAGCTGAACTCAACTGTCAACAACAGCCAGGATGGTGCCACAAGTAAGGCTTTTTCTAAAATTCAAAATAAAAGTGCATTGAAGTTTCATAACTTAGACATGAGCTCAAAGAATTTTATTTAAGTTCATTTAATGGAAAAAGGAGAAATCAATAAAAAAATAGTTGCTAAAATGGGCATTTCTTGTTTCTCGTTTTTGTGTACAGAACTATAAATAACAAGTAAACAACTTCTACTCGCTGTATCACTCAACGTTGAGTAATTGAAATAGCTTGCTGAAGTGATATCAATGAGAGTTTTACTTTGAAAAGTCTTGACAGGAAGTGTCTGTTCGCTGTGTGTCTCGTGCGGTGTGACTGTGTCGGAAGCGTTTGCTGCCCGCGACACCGAACAGCAGCAAGTGCGAGGAGACCTTGTTGATTTCGGGCCGCACGGGAGATGAACACGCTGTCAGCACCTTATAGCAGCAGCTGAGCGGCCAGGTAAGCTGTCAGCACCGCGGGGTAACAGCGGAGAAACACCCGGGGAGGAGGAGTCGGGGATGGAGGGGAAATGAGCCATGGTTGTTGCGATATGTTTTCCACACGGCGGAAACAAAACAACAAGTGATACAAATGCTTGTACGGTGACGGTTACACGATAGTCTGAAGGGAACATTATTCTCCAGGGCGCTGCTGACAACGCTACACCTGTCCTGCAGGTAGAAAACCTGACATTTTGTCTTTCTGTCTTCTTTAAACAGGCGTGAAGAATGGTTCAGACAAAATGCGCTTGATGAACTAAAAGTGCGTAGCTCAGGTTTCAGTCTGTTGTCAGGTTAGATATTACATTTTATGACATTAGGTGTGACCACCTTAGTAATTCTAACGTTACATTGTTGAAGAAATAAATCTAAAGAAGGATACGTGTATGTTTGTATACATTATATAAAAGGGTATTATATAATAATTAAGTTTAAAGGATGTATTCAGAAACTGAAAGCAGCCTAATCTATCAAACATGAGTTCAACAATAGATAGTACTACTGACTAAAGCTGTGAGGAGGACGGTCATGAATTAAGTCAAGTCATGTTGCTAATCTAGTAAAGGCCTGCCTCACTGTCACAGATTAATAATACTAATAATAACTTTTATTTATGTAGCACTTCTCAAAATCAACAAAGTGCTCCACAGACACAAACAGGAAATATACAGTGCACTTACAAATTAGGATGCAGCCAACAGTTAAAAACGGTATTTAAGAAACCAAGTATAATTTTTGTTAAAGGTCCCGTGTGTAACATTTAATAGGATGTATTTACAGAAATGGAATATAATATTCAGAGGTATATTTTCATTGGTGTATAATCAAGTGAAAATAAGACTGGTTGTGTGTTTGTTACCTTAGAATGAGCTGTTCGCTGTGTATGTCTACAAAGGGAGTCATTAATGTAATAAGAGAGAACTGGATACAGCGTTGGAGGCGGCCCCGTTCGTTCCTATGGAAGCTGTTCAGTGGTGAATGTCAGAAATTTAGATTTCCCAGTGTAAAGTTTTCCGAATATTCCGTCCGAGCTGCTAACTTGTATGTGGTGATTTAATCATGCAGCTCTTCTAGAGTTCCAAGAGTTATTTGACCAAATGGATCAATTTCGGATAGTGAAAGTCATTTTGCGGGGGTTGGGATGCTAAAAATAATGCAGTCACCATTTTACAGCTGCATCTTTCACAATGTCACCTTTATGGGAAAAAGTATTTTTGAGCCAGTGTGTATCACGTGACGGACGCCATTGCTGTAATTATTTCATTGTGTATCTAAAAAATGAGGCATTTGTCCTCAAGTCAAAATCTAACACAGTATTGAAAAAAGGATTTTATTGTTTATGTTTCCAGCTTTCATATTTCACTTTTAATTTACTTCCTGCTTCAATATACAATTTTCTTATTAATATTATTATTTCTTTACATACTAATGTAAAGCAGCATTCATAGAGCTTTCACAAGCTGGAATCACAACCCTAGTTAATAAATCAGCTGACAGGGCAGGAAGGATACCACAGCCAATCGGCAAGTGACTTAATGCCCTTCTAAATTGAACTAACCACACAGACAGTTTGGCATTGCCCTGTTTGGACTCCTCTTTGGTGTAACGTTAACAGAGGGGTAGTTTTATTACTTGAGTCAGCCATAAAGAAAAGATAAGCTCAGGTTGCAGTATTATAGTTAATGTGTTTTGTGTTTGCTGCCACAGAAAATAAATAAAGTGTCTGTGTTGTTTGTGTGATGTCACTTTGGCATCTTCTGTACTCTTCACAGCAGATTGTGAAATGCTAACGCTAAGTAGTTAGCACCTATGGCTCATGCTAAAGACAAAAGAGAAACGGAGGTCTCCCAAATGCGCTGGAGCTGGACGCCACGGGTCAAACACGATCAGGTTGATTGCTGCAGCGTTAAAAGAAACTATAAAGGTTTCTCTTTATTATCATGCAGTGGGGTTGTTATCCATGCTGATGTGTATTTGCTCTTCCCGCATCTGAAGCTATCTTTATGTTTGGTTTGCAGGTTTGGTAGGTCTGTGTGCACCTGCACTTCCACAGCAGGAAACATCAGCACACTCACACACTGTGGTTCTCTTCTACACTGTTCTGTTTATATGAAACACAGCTGTAATGGGATAGCTTTTAATGTCCTCCTTCCTCTTTCCTTCAGCACACTCAACTATTTTCTCACCACACCTTCCCTACATTCAGATGTTCTGGTTTCACTGAACGTCTGCATCGCCGAAAGTTTGTGGTTGCTGGGATATTCCACCCATATGACATTAGATACCATATCAGATTCCAGTTTCAGGTCCTGAACCATAAATCTATGTATCTAAGTTAAATAGTTTTAGGTATTAAAAACTAGTTTTACAAGAAAAGGTTTCAATATTTTTTAATATTTTTACAATAAACTTTGCATAAAGATGTAATATTTCAAGATATCATTTTATGAGAATGTAATATCAGTAGTAAAGTTAGGTTTCAAATATAAGTACATTGTATTAGAAGAATAATATTCATCAGAATTTATCATTAGATTTTTTCTCCCCAACACTCCATCTAAGTTCTGTAGTTGTCCAGTAACTTAGATGTTCTGTGTGTTTCTTCAGCTATGGGGGCTCTTCCCAGCAGATGTGACGGTGGAGGTGAAGACAATGACAACCAGCCTATAGTTGAGAATGATGACCTCAAGAAGGGGGGCTACAGCAGGAGACACAGCTCAGGAGAGACAGTGCACTGTCCCACCTGCCAGGGTACTGGACGTATACCCAGAGGTAGTAATTTTCTGCCTGAGAAACAGCTGTTGATATTTAATTGTCCATTGAATCATGTCCAAACTTGACTACTGTGCAGCTGTCCACACACACACACACACACACACACACACACACACACACACACACACAGACACAGACACTGACACTGACCCTGTCCTGTTTTGTAGACACGTTTAACGGCTAGTGTCAAGCTAACTGACAAACACTTAGCAGTGACTTAATACAGGTTTTTTTTTTTTTCGGGAATAAAAGTATCCAGGCTCCTCGAGCACAACCGGATTGCTGGCTTTTAGTTAGAAAAAGACTGATTTGTTATGCAGCACGCATTTTAAATGTTAATATAGTGCCAGTGGCACAGGGAATATTGCAAAGGGAGGGGGAAGAATGGATTCCACAAGCAAACATCACACCTTCTGTAAAATAGCTAAAGCTGTAAAGAAGGCAGCCTCTACAACAGGATAATGATCTTAAACATACCTTGAAATCCACCATGGACTACCTCAAGAGACACAAGCTGAAGGTTTTGGGGTGTCGTGAGGAGTCTTTCTTTGCTTACCGGCCTGGTATTGGGGTGGACGACGCAGTAATCTACCTGCTGCACAGATCCCTGCTACACCTGGAGGACAGTGGGAGCACGGTGAGGGTCATGTTTTTTTGACTTCTTCAGTGCTTTCAACACTGTCCAGCCGTCACTGCTCAGAGTGAAGATGGAAAGTGTGGGAGTGGACCAACACCTGGCTGCATGGACAACAGACTATCTCACCAACAGACCACAGTATGTGAGGCTCCATCACTGTGTGTCTGACGTTGTGCTCTGCAGCACAGGTGCTCCTCAGGGTACGGTGCTCTCTCCCTTCCTCTTCACCCTTTACACCTCGGACTTCACCCACAATACCCAAACTGCCACATCCAGAAGTTCTCAGATGACACAGCCATTGTTGGATGCGTTTCTGAGGGGAATAAACTGGAATATAGGACTGTCATCAGGGACTTTGTCAGCTGGTGTGAGCTCAACCAGCTTCAGCTAAACACTAGCAAGACGAAGGAGATGATTGTTAACTTCAGGAGGAAAACATCCCACTTCACCCCGGTGTACATCCAGGGATTGGACATTGAGGTAGTAGAAAATTACAAATTCCTGGGTGTTCACCTCATTAACAAACTGGACTGGACTGACACCCATGCTCTCTACAAGAAGGGCAAGATTCGCCTCCACCTGCTGAGGAGACTGAGGTCCTTCGGAGTAAGCAGGGCTCTGCTCAGGACTTTTTATGACTCTGTGGTTGCTTCAGCCATCTTCTATGCTGTGGTCTGCTGGAGAGGGGCAGTACGGACAGGGACAGGAAGAGACTCAATAAACTGATCAGGAGAGCGAGCTCTGTCCTGGACTGTCCTCTGGACTCCATAGAGGAAGTGGGTGAGAGGAGAATGTTAGTTAAGCTGAAATCCATCATGGACAACACCTCTCACCCCCTACCTGACACTGTGGGGTCCCTGAGTAGCTCCTTCAACAGCAGACTGATACACCAACGGTGTAAGAAGGAGAGGTTCCGAAGGTCTTTCATCCCTGCCGCTGTCAGACTCTACAACACCTGCACCACCTGATCATGTCATAGTTTCTGTTTCAAATTACCACCACTACTCACCATAGCTTTTATATCTGTCTTTTATCTGTATTTATTTTTTTCACTCCAATTACTTACTTGCTGCGAGTGAATTTCCCTGTTGTGGGATGAATAAAGTATAATCTATCTATCTATCTATCTATCTATCTATCTATCTATCTATCTATCTATCTATCTATCTATCTATGGCAATTGAACACAAACATGAGAGGACCCAACTTCTCACAATATCAACTCTGCTCCCACTTTGCCATCTTTGATTTGAAACCATGTTCCATGTGTGTTACAGGTCAGGAGAGCAAGCTGGTGGCTGTCATCCCGTGTAATGACCAGAGGCTGAGACCCAGACACACGTAAGAAAACAAATACTCAACACTTACAACATCTGTGGAGAGATGAGGGGGCTAAAATGCACACAGCAAAAAAGTGCATAAAAACAGGTGGACGGAAACCCACCTAATGTAGGTGTGTAAGGTGTTCGCAGTCTTCTTATGTTGCCTTCACTCTGCCTGTGAGAAATCAAATAAAGACTGAACCAGGTGAGGGACTAAGTAAGTTTGGAGTAAGTGTTACGTAACACTTGGGTGCTTCACAGTACAACCAATCTGATTCCTTCGCATGGGACCCAAGTCGAGACCTGGTTGAGAGGATTGTTGGCTGATGCGCGTTTTCCCTCGATGCAGGTTTGAATGGGTTCTAAGCTGTGACGTGAACAGGCTGGCCTGAGGTTGTTTTATTGGACTGATATGGAGTGATGATGATTTGATGTAGTCCACTGATGTGTCTCCTCCTTTCTCAGGAAGCTGTACGTTGCTGTGTCTGTTGGTGTGTGCCTCCTGGCCAGCTCCCTGGTGTTGTTCTTCCTGTTTCCTCGCTCGGTCCTTCTTTCTCCAGTAGCTGTCCAGTCATCCTTTGTTTACTTCAATGAAAACGATGTCGAGATTAATATTACAGTAGGTAGAGAGTGAAAGGTATGGGTGGAAGGACTGATAAGATATCCTGTCCTGATTCTTCTGATTGTTGTTTGACCTATAATGTGTTATAAAATCCTAACTGTGTTTCCTTGTAGAATGTCCTGAACATCACCAACCACAACTTTGTGGCTGTGCAGGCGTACAATCTGACCGTGCAGGCCCTGAACTTCGAAACGGTGGTGGGAACAGTTTCCATTAAGAACGTCAGCTCTATTAAACCTCTATCTATCAAAATGGTGAGACATCACAACCTCACAGATAGTATGGTATACTGTTTTGCTTGACATCAGAGAAATACTTTTCCTAATATACCTCTGGAGTGGCGAGTGGTTATGAAATGCTTCTGCCTCTTTCCTTCCTTCCAGTTCTCCTTTGTGATCCCCGTCAAGCTGACAGACCCTGGCACGAGGTGAGCTTCCAGTGTTACTGAACTGTTTCAGATGCTAATGGTTTCACTCAAAACCTCTTTAACTATGGAGACTAAGGAATGATTGGAAAACTGGTTCAGTCACAGTGTGTATCAAGATGGAGAATGTCAAGAGCTCACTGCTTCTTCTTACTTTTTACCAACTGCACAGTCTTTTTGTTCTCCTAGTACCTTGTCAGTACAAACTAATTATGACTGGTTGCTAATAAAATAAAATTATTACTTTTATTGTTCTAAAAGGAATACAGAAAGTTGTGAAACATGGTTTACATTTGGACATCCAAGCCCCGGAGTTGTACAGACATTTTGAGGGGCTCTAACCTGAAACAAAGAACCAGTTTCAAGTTGAATGAGCTCAGCTGGTGCAGAAGGGGACATCTCTCTCTCACACACACACACAAACTTTGCTGGCATGCACCAGGGGACCAAATAAAGTATTTTGTGCCTTCACAAGATTCCCTCGAAGGTCATTAATTGGTCAGTGATTGAAGGTTGGCATGTCATTTATATGAAGATAATTTGCATCAGGGCGGCACAATTAATCAAAATATTATTGAGATCGCACTATGGCCAAGTCAGATATCTAAGTTGGAAGAAGCTGCAGTTTTTTGACGAAGGTAAAATGTGGTTTCTCCTCAAAAGAGGCAATGCAGCCAAAGTGCACGTCCTTGATCAACTTTAAGAGAGCGATCAGAGAGAGTCGAATTACTATCTATGTATGCTGCACACTGGTAGAACCTGTTATTCTAGATAGTAGGGTGATACAGGGATATGATGTGTTTCTGCTTGTGTTTTTAAAGTCTCTCAATCAGTCTAAAACATGTATTGCCATTGTATTGTAATATTGTCGTTATTATTGTATAGATACCAGCACTTCTTAAAGACTACCCCTCTTTTTTTTCTGCAGTAATTACTGTAAGAAAGCTTCCCTGCCCGTCCACATTCTGTATCTGCACCTACAGTAAGTATCTTTTTCCATAGGTCTGGAGAATCTTTTCAACATTTATGGCCTTGTCAGTGTCAAGGCTAGATTAATAACTGGGTAAAGTGCTCAGCTGATCTTTTTTTTGTTTTGTTTTTTACATTTTCTGTTTGTTAAATTACATTGTTTTAGTAACTTGCACCACTTAAATGCAAAATTGACTAATTCTCCATTACTACAAAATCTTGTGGCCCTGCTTTGCGAAGGGTCCCAGATTTTGTTTTAAATTGTGCTCATGATGCATTTTTCTAAATAAAGTTATATTTGATGGAATATTCTCAAAATAATATACAAAAAACATGGGACCAGGTAGTGTTAGTGTATTCCCGTATTCTGGTCACTTTCTGGATCTCTGATAAATATACAAAATAGCTATTTTGTGCAATCAAAACTCGAATATTCCCGACATTTCCACTTATCTTTATTTCTCTGCTTGAATCTTTAAACAGAAGTTACTTAGTATTATTCTAGGGATGGTTTTATTATCTTTGGTGCCAGAGAACATAGGAATAACCATCTACAATATCTGTTGACTTCTGCCCCAGTTTGTGCTGAAGCCAACACTCACATGACTCTTGGTGAACGGATTAAACAATCCTCTGCCATGCTTCAGTCACATACTTCAGACTGCATGAGGAAGAAAAACATCAGTGTTTGCCTCAATTTGATTAGAAGAAGAAGAAGAAGGAATGGAAGGAATGAATTACTTTATTAATCCCTCTTGGGGGGGAAATTTCATTATTATACCACAAAGATTTGCAGAGTTTTATGCATCTGCCCCCTGGTCAAGCACTATTCAAACAGGAGGTAATGGTGCATTTGTTGGTGTTCAGTGCTCTAGTGAGTATTTGGGGCAGAGTGGATTTGTTGTGATGTAATTTGTCAGCAACTGTTAATGTTATACATCATCATATCGATAAGTCTGCGAGTATTTGTTTTTGTGAAGTTGGAACTGATTTATTCCGTGTTTTGAACAACACTAAAATGACTAAAATGTTTAGTCTTCTTGCTGGTTGTTCTGACACATTCAGAATCATTACCACGTTTTTTCTGTTAGCAACAGGTGGCTGTTAAATAAAATAAAATATTATTAATTATTATTATTATCATAAACATGCCTCAACTAATTGACTTGGAAAATCTTAAGTCTGGGGCAGCCTTAGTTCCTTTTAAATCCAAACGTTGTAGCCTGCTGTAATGCTCATTAGTATAATTCTGCTGTGTTTGTGTTTCTTGTACTGCAGGATGTCTATGACAGTGTACTACCTGGCCCACTATGAGCAGCTCTCTGTGGAGACATACGAGTACATCGACTGTGGAGCAAACAGCACCATACCACACAGTGTGCAACCCCCAAGCCCCTGACGGATGGATGGATGAATGGATGGACGGACACATAGAGGAACAAATACTGTGGACATACTGTTTCTGAAGTGGAATATATATATATATATATTTTTCCCCATGAATTGTCAGTCAAATGTCGGATAAGATATAGTGTGACAGCAGGCTGTGATTAACACTCATCTGGGTGGATGCATGAAGGGGTCTGGAAAGGGAAGAATATGAGTGACTAAATGAAGAATGGACTCTTTCTACCCTGCCCTGTATGTGAATGAATGAATGGAGGAAAGATGAGTATAAATGCACCACTCTCACCATCTTTAGCAACAGTTCTACACATTTGAATTATACAGTGGAGGAAACCCCAACAAATCTTTCATCATTGAGTGGATGTTGATAAGAACGTAGCAGCAGTGACACAATGATGTAATGAAAGTTGGAGCGGAAACGAAAAACCTGAGTATCCTTTTATTTTAGTTCAGACAGCTGGTGTTTTCAGTCATGGGAAATGTCTGTGTTGCCGTACAACTTGATCACTGAAAATCTGAAAATCACTATTGAACGTGTAAATATTACTCAACTTTAATTTATAATTTGTTCATGAAAAAGAATGGTAGATGTGCTGTTAACAAGTATTGTCAAAGTAAATGAGCCTCAGTATGGGGCAGCTGTGTTACAAATACAAACAAATGATATTGTGGATAAAGTCTTTTTTATTATTTTTAATCTTCAAAGCTTCTGAGCTTGCCATTTGCCATATACCCTCAGGATATCAACATCCACTCCACATGATTGTGCCCCCATCTATATTAATAAAGCTGGATTAATCAATTTTGTCATATAAACAATGGATCAAATGTGAAAGGTGTTGCTGGTGATAAATTAACAGAATTATCACAATCATCTTGTGTCTTTTTTGCTGTCCATCTTGGAGAAGGTAGCTACAGGTAACACTGACAGTGATGCTGTCGATGAGGATGAAGCATAACCTTGGTAACTGAAGTGCACATATGCTTCATTATGACAATAACTACCATGAAAGCCTCGGTCCAAACATGAAGGCAAGGAGACAACCTAAGAGGCTATATGTAACACTCCTAAATGAACCCCTCAGCCTCGGGAAATATTGTACATTAGGTATAAACTTAAGTCAGAAACACATTAGTTAATGCAACCGGGCACAGGAAGTTATTGGTTGTTGACCTTCATTTGTGAAATTGGTGGATGTCGATGGTGAAACCTTTAATGTTTGAGGTCGTCCTGTCTTTCTGAGCCGCCACAGATCTAACATTATTCTGTAATTCTGTGACAATTATAAAGAAGAATGCGGGCAGTCATGTGGCACTTTAATATTAATGCAACTCAGACCAAACCAAACTGTGGTCATGTGTCACGACTGAAATAGCTCTGTTAAATTCACTACATGGTCAGTTTGAATCAGCACAAACAAGAGGTTTTTTTTTATGTTCACTCACAGCACTCAATATCAAGACCACCAGTTCCCATAAAGGGAAATGTAAAAGACAATAGTGTCAGAGTTGATGTTTATCAAGTGTTTTGGTTGCATTGCAGCATTATGGATGTTAGAACAGCCACCATGAAAGATTCTTTGTGCGAATATGAATATGGAATTGAAAACACTGTGACCAGACAGACAGGTCTATTATAGGTACATGTGTATATATAGATATTAAAGGGAGCGGCCACAGTTTTCACCCTTGGCTGAAATTCGGCATGGAGGTTACAGGTTTATGATAGTTTCTGTAAACCTGTGAACAGACTGCTGAAACTGTTTGTATGACATGAGTTTATTCAGTCAACTGTTGAGGATATTTGACTTTGACTACGTATTACTGGCTCACTGTACGGTATGAAGGTCTCACTGAGAAATGATCTATGAAATAGGACAGGACACATTTTCCAGATGACCATGAGCTCAGTAGTGCTTGGAGAAGAGACGTGTTTTAAGTCATATTTGTTATATTAACATATTAAACCAACGGCAATCTCACACTGGTGCAGTTTCGACAAAAGCAGACGCAGAGCTGCTGTTCAGAGCATCCAGACTTGGTGCGGTGATTCAGCTCAGTTCCTCGTCGTCCTCACCACTGCTGGGCGTACTGTAAAGACTGAAAGATAAACAGGCATTATTCCTCGGAAAATACTCAAAAATGTGCAAAAAGTTGTTCTCTCCTGAGTTCCCTGTGTCAGCCATGGAGAGGAGATTAAAGACGTGACAACCCAAACTCATCATGAGGAAGGCGCTGATACTTACTGAGTACCTGTTGGGGATCTTAGCACTGTGATGCACAGGCGTCATCAGGTCTTTCTTACAGTGGGGGCACTGGCCTCCAGCTGGAAACAACACATGAAAAACATGATGAATGCTGAGCAAATCTTCCTTAGATTAAAGGTCCAACAGCTGTCCATTCTGTGTGCGATGAAGAAAAAAAAAGGGAAATGGAAAACAGAGAGTGTCTCTGACTATGCCACTCACCCCACGTACCACCAGAGGGAGCTCATGGATCACCAGTGGTATGTGTTTGAGAGCGAGTGCAGTCCATATGAGACCTTGATGCTCGCAGACAAGGTGAGGCATCAAATAATGGCTGAATGTATCCTTTCACTTTGCTCCCATCAATCCTTTTCAGGTTGTTGCCAGGAAAACAGTAAATCTGTGGCTGCTGATATCCGACACTCAGTGTGCAGCAGCCTGAGTGGCCCTTCATGAATCCTTCATCAGACCTCCCTCTAATGAGAACACTCTGGACCGTGACGTTCGGCCGGCCTGTGTGTGTGTGTGTGTGTGTGTGTGTGTGTGTGTGTGTGTCCGTCTTTTTTAAGTTAAACACGAGGTCCACGTGGTCACATGATCAGGTAACCTTACCCTTCACGTGAGAGAGGTTGACTTGTCTGAAATTGACAAAATGTACAATATACATTGGACATATACATACTTTTTTGGTATCCTTTTAAAGGGGAGTCGTGTGTTTTCTTAACAAAATAACACGTCCATTAAAATGCTAATATTCTTGTGATCATGATAATGATCTGTAGAGCTCATTTCCACCTGGTAGACATGAGATCTGGATCTGGATCAGGAAAAACACATGTAAATGCACATGGAACACATACTCTCAGTCTTGCAGAGACACTGTCTCATAGTGGCAGATAAACTGTGTGTGTGTGTGTGTGTGTGTGTGTGTGTACAATGGGCCTCCCCATGTTAACATGTAGTTGTATGCAAATGTTGAGTTAGTACTGTGTGTGTTCTGTGACTGTGACTGTGACTTCATGATGAGACCACTGAGGGGTTAAAGACCTCCAAAGATTCCAAAGATATTCACGAAACAGTAACAGAGCCAACAATGACACCATTGTCGTGAGTGTGTGTGTGTGTGTGTGTGTGGACAGCTGCGCAGTAGTCAAGTTTGAACATGATTCAATGGACAATTAAATGTCAACAGCTGTTTCTCAGGCAGAAAATTGGCTCCCTCTACGGTGTGATTTAGTTCAAGAGCAGATACAGTATTATTCACACTGAGAGATAAAGTACGGCATGTTTACACTGTTTTTGCAAGTTGAAGCTCGTTAATTACATTTCATGAATACATTAGTGTTAACTGTTAACTGAGCATGAAGACAAAATCACATTTTGGCTAATCTCTATAAACAGATATTCGCATATGAATGCATGAATATGATACATGTTAAAGATTCAGTGTATAACATCTAGAAGGAGCTATTGGCAGAAATGGAATATAATATTCATAGGTATGTTTTCATTAATGTATAATCACCTGAATATAGGAATTGTTGTTTTTTGTTACCTTATGCAACTACACCATTATTTGCTACTAAATCGTACACACTGGTCCTTCAAAAAAAAAGCTAATAAAAAAGGATCTTCTTCCAAACATCTGTTTAAAGAGATTAGGTTGTCCTGGTCGATACAGATGCAGTAGTAAAATAGGGTTTTCCATTATGTGTGTATTGTAGTGATTCTTGTTGTGATGTTACTACACATCTGCATGACCAATCATAATCATCAGCACAGCTGCCAAACCCTGAAAGTACAGGAACCACATTAAATATCACCTCCTGAGCAGTGCTTAAAGTGAGTCCCAGGAACTCGGCCCCAACTTGAACAGAGAGCAGTGGCAACAAAAGCAAACCCATGATAACAGAAAGATGGGACAAGTTTATGTTTTTGATAGATGATACGTTGTCCAACCGTGGTCTGAATCTGTCAGTAATGATACCTGTTTGCTCTTGTGTTGTGTTTGATTCAGTTGCATTGTGGCTGGTCTCAGAACCCGTCTGCAGCAGCTGTAAAGAAAAAGATAAACTAAAATAAACACTCCAAATACAGCAACAACAATGGAAAAGACAAGAGTTAAAAGAATATGCCAGATTTTGTGTCCAAATACACAAGTGTATTATTACACCTCTGCATGCCAAAGTGAAAAGAAAAACTTTGATTGATTTTTACATGTTGATGTCTGTTTTTGGAGACTTTACAGCCTTTAAAGCTAAGGTAGGTAATGTATTTCATTTTTGTTATATTTGTTGACATTCTCTTTACATCCCAACAGAAATCAATAAATCAAATGCTCTGAAATTAAATCTGTAGCAGTTGCAGGCCTGTATTAAGCCCAGCCAATCATTACATTTGGATGCATTTTTATTTCATTTAAAACTTGGGGACCTCTTTTTAGTCTTCTTTCAAATGCCCAAAAGGGACATTTCCCCCGAGCGGTATCTTATCTTAAAACAAGCCTCTACTTATTTAAAGTTAATCCTAGCTAACTCAGGTCTTTAAAAGATAAATAAATTAGGGTTATTATTGAATCCATCTGAAACATATTTTTGCGTCTGAACGCACCCTGGAAAATCAGCAACAGGATACAAGCTGTCAGATTCACACAGGAAACGACCCCATGCTGGGGTGTCACATGTCCCTGCTCAGTTTTCAATCTGTTGTTCAATAATAAAGTAGACCAGACAGACTGCGGGAAGACCGTCAGCAGAACGTTTTGGAAGAAATATCTTCAGATTCTTACATCCACTGACTGGAAGCTCTACTATTAAAGGTCCAGTGTGTAACATTTAGGAGGATATTGGCAGAAATGGAATATATTATTTATATTTATATGAGACGTTTTTAACTATCTCTTTCCTCTTCTATTGATTCCATCATGTTTCTACAGTAGCGCACAACGGACAAACCAAACACAGTTGGCCACTGTAGCTTCTCCCAGTAGGCGATATGTCGGGGGGAGGCCATCTTCCTTGGTAGTAAAATTACTAAAATACATCCCCTTTTCAACCTGCTACCCCCCTCTTTATCCCAGAGTACTAAGGTCACTAACAGACAGGCTGTGGTCTGGGTCCAGACCAAAAGTTGGGAACATCATAATTACGTTACTGAGTGCCAACCATGGCTCTGAAATATCAATAAAATCCATGTATGTGGTGCTGAAATAGCAGGCGGATTTGTTATTTCTCCTTTTCTCTCAGTCCTGTCCTTCTGTCAGTTTCGTCTTGGATCTTTAATACCCTCTAAACTATAGCTTATATAGTGGGTTACTTAAAATAACCTCTTCTCATCGCTAGGGTGCTCCTAATGGGGCTTCCCCTGTTAAAAATGAACATATCGCCTACTGCTTTCTCCTGTGTGTTTGGTTGAGTCAGGGGATTTTAATTCCCGCTAGATGAGTAAGTGTACTTAGTGATATTCCATCACTGTCACAACCAGGAAACCTTTTTAAATAACATACGTTATTTGGTACATCATGGTTATTTACCTGAGGTTTGTCTCTGGCCATCCTGCGGTCCAGAGCATTCTGACGCCGTCTGGCCTCCCAGTGCATAGCTGACATCCTGATGGAGACGTGAAGAGATAGCAGCCGATCAACAGCTCTGTATCCTGACCTGGACAATCAACTCACACATTAGTTCACATAAAGAATAATACAGCATATATAAAAACAGAACTGTATGGCAAATGTGAATTATTAATGTAATATTTAAATAATAATCCATAAGGGATGTTTAGGCCACTTGGGGCAGTGGGAACAAGTTGTTAACATATTATCTCTTATAAAGTTGATATGGCTAACGCTGATTATTTACACACCCAACAGACACAGAGCAACATTAGCATTCATTTCAACTCGTGTTTGTGTCCACCTGATGAATGAAGTCCAATATTCACTCTCCTTACTGCTCTGGTTTGGTGTCCACCAGCTCCCAAGATCTGCTTGTTATATTCTGTTTTTTTTTTAAATTAAATTAAAACCAAAGTGCACCTTTAGGAACAGCTGTTTCCAGTCTATATGCTAAGCTAACTGGCTGCAGGCTGTAGACATTGCATGGACAGATGTAATTGTGTTACTGGTCTTCTCATCTAACAAAAGCAAATAAGTGCATCTCCCACAATGTCAAACTATTGCTTAAAATTTTAAACTGTGCAGAACCTTCTGTGTTTGATTCCTGCTAAGCTGTGTAAAATGTGTTTTATTAGTATTATTTTATGATGCTGTTAACGTGATATTTTGTTTAACTAGCTCACAAGCTGGTGATTTAAATCAGCATACAGATGCAGTAAAACACTTACAGCCTGGTGTTACTGTTTAATATTTAGAACTCAAACATTAGGGTGTCTTAATCAAGAGCAGCATTACAAATACAGTACGAGATATTTTGATCGGACACCACAAGAATTTTTAGACATACACCTCCTTCCTCTCTTTCTGACTGCACTACAGAGTTACCTGATACACTTAAACTCCCAACCACTGCCGTCAGCTCCTCTGATTACTGATCTCCTTCCTGTGTTACCTGTTCTCCACACACTCCTGTCACCTGCCACCCAGTGGATACTTATCACAACCAATTATCAGTCTGATCCATTTTGTTAATATAATGAGGATTATGAAAGTTTATCATTGTGTCATGCTTGGGAATGTGCCCGAATAAGCCTGAATAAGCTGGCATGGGATTACAATCAGTGTTAACCAGACACAGAATGCAGCACATATATTTTCCAAAGATACTTCACAAAGTCTCAGTCTCATTCCCTGATTGTCAAATACTGAGGATTTGCCACAGCCCTTTGGTGCATCTTACACCGGGATGCCAGAGAGCCTTTAGAAAGTGAGGTCCCGTAGCATAAAGAGAGGCAAAGTCCGCATATGGAGGCGGTTGAGGTGGATGGATGGATGAATCAAACAAACATGGGACTTTCACCCAGGAGGCCAGGATTCGTGTCCGGTGTGAAACCAAAACTCAACATGGACTTATATAAAGTTTAAAGGTACATACCGTTACGTATGTCCCTTAGGTCCTGTGGCTTACTTATTCTAATCTAAACCAAGATCTTTTCCTAAACCTAACCAAACTGCACCCGTTTGACATCCTTGGATGAGAACGCGTAGGCATATTCCACATAAGGCCTAACCTATGTCAGATTTTCAGAACTTTGTTTCCACATGATGTATTTAGGTGAGACTTGTTACCATAGGATGGGATGTAAAAACCACAACAAGAATAAAAAGGTGGCAGCACAGTTAAGTACAGTCATGCCTAAGAAATAATGAGCAAGCAAATACGAGTGTTTACTCACCTGACGTGTGCCCTGGAGAGAGAGCAGCCCAGCAGCCTCGGTGGACTGCTGGAGGTGTCAGTCTCTCTTTACCTCTCTCCTGTCTCTGACCTTGTTAAGTGGAGTTTCCAGGCAACATAACGCTCTCCTGGGCAGCTTTTGTGAGAGAGAAACAGAAAGGTAGACTGGATAAATCATTGTTCACCACCTCCCTGTGGCTCACTAACAATGGTCCCACCTCGCCCTGTGTTTATTTGTTCTCTTGCTTATCCAAACAGTGACTAATGAACCTTCACCTGAGAACATAAGGATGCATTAAAGGGTTGTCTATCTTAAAACAGTACTGACATGCCCATACAGTGTGTACATTTAAAGGGGTACTGGTCACTGATCAATCCTCCTGTAACAACTTTCTAAAGCAAGCATCAATGTAATCCAAAGTTTGCATTTGTGAACTTAAAATACAACAATAGTACAGTATTAATGCCATGGTCTGTCCAGTCATCTATGATAGGACAATACACTCTGCTCCTCTTTTGAATTCCACAACTGAAGAAAGTGAGAAAATGTATAAATTACAAATGTAACAGCCCATATATTCCCTTCACAGTAAGGTTGGTCAGAGTCCATCAGGGCTGCCATTCGTCCTGCGGACACCAGAGTGCGCTGCTGCCCTGTGCAATGAGGAATGATGGCCGGCCTGCTCTGGGATCAGTTTTGCAAATACATCACTTCTGGAAAAGGAGAGGACGAGGAGGAAGCTGATCCCTCATGAAGCAGGAATATATGGTCTCATTTGAACCATAAAGGTTCTTGTTTTCTACTTTTCAAACTTAAAGACATATACTCACCCTTGGTCGGCGTAAAAAATCAGCCCCCCATAAGTAACTGTTTGATATGTTAAATGTTAAAACCCAAGTTTAATTAAGAATACCAAAACAATAAGTAATCTTTTTTTTTCTTTCTACAAAACCATGATTTTATTTTAAATCAAGCAGCTGCAAAAGACCCTCAATAGTGAAAAGTTATAATTTGAATAAGGAAATATCTGAACAAAGAACAAGTACAGAATCTGAACAAGCATTTGATACCAGTAGTAAATACTTGACAGTATTCCTTATTTCATCCTATTACAACAACCATCCAACCCTTCTCCCCCCATGCCGGACAAAGATGATGGATGAGAGAAGAGACAGAGATTTAGGCTTGTGATGCTTGCTGAAGTGACGAGACAGTTTCCCAACCTGCAAAACCCCCTTTGTGTGTGTCTGTGTGTGTCTGTGTGTGTGTGCCTGTATCTTTCCTCATGCTGGTCAAATCTGACGCAGCTGATAACAGCCAAAAATTTGACTGACACACACACACACACACACACACACACACACACACACACACACACACACACACACGTGAATCTGGAGCTTCCATGATGCTGATATAATCAGTTCACATCAAATCTACAAACCATCTGAGTGCAGCATCATGTTATTCAAATCAGGACCTTACTAACTGCTACTACAAACAGCACCAACAAGAAATATATAAGAACACATAACTGTGTCTGTCATGATAGTCATTGTCATGTTTCTGTGTCCTCTCAAAGCACTTATTAATAATGTATTAATGTCAGATATCATCGTGCTTCCTCAACAAGCAGTCAGTCAGCCTGGCTCCAGTCAGTCAATAGGTCATCACTCGTTTCACACACACACACACACACACACACACACACACACACACACACACACACACACACACACGCACACACACATTTGCACACATCGTTATCATAATGAGTGTTGGGTATCAAGGAAAGGACATAGAGCATTATCATGCAAATCAATACAGTGGACCCATTAGGTCATAGATGACTCATACTGACCCATACTGACCTGTCTGCAAAGCTGTATCTCCTGCAGTCAGCCATTATAGCTCCTTTTCATTTGAACACGTCTGGCTCTGAGGATTTATCTTCACGTAATTCTTCATTTAGCTTCTACAGCTGCTGTTGGTGCAGTTTCTTCTTAAGGCATTGTTCGACCAAGCCCAACCTTTTTAACGTACCCCCCTAAAGTCCTGTCAGATGAAGTCAACTACCGCCTCATCAGCACCACCAGTCATGTTCCAAATATATTCAACGTTTCATTAAACTGGATGTTATTTAACACTATTAAGAGTAGACATTATTAGAATATCTTTTCATACAGTTGATCTGTCAGTGTTTTGGTTTGTTTAACTTTGCATTAATACTACATGTGGTATAAGCTGAAGTACAACCTGGGAATCACTGTCATAACGTCATGTCTGCAATCTCTCAATCAGTCTGTCATTGGTCTTTCTGAACAAATGAAGCGTGTTCCTCTGGTTTACTTAATCCGCTCCACTACAGCATTTTTAAGATTTCAATAAATGATTCATTTGTGAGCACATAAAAAAAAACACTCCTTACCATGGAAGTTTAAAACTGCAGCAGTCTGGGTACTTTCATCATTGTAACTTGGATTTTTCCATCTTATTAACTGTTTAAAAACAGCATTCAGTTCTTCTCTGATGTTCTTACCGACATGTCTGAACTCAGCCCAGGAGCCTCACCTCTGTGGTCTAGTCCAGACATTTAACCCTTCAAGGCTCAGGGGAACTTGTGTTCATAAAACCCTGTAAAAAAAAACCTTATTGGTATCATTAGTAACACTTGTGTTTACCCTACCATTTCACGTCAAAATGGCTGCTGTGAAAAAGGTTTATTGAATAATAATAATAATAGTAGAGATAGTAGAATAATAGAGTCCGAACAATATATTGTATTGGTATCTGGGATTTTTTTTTTTTTTAAAGAATCCCATATCGGTCGGGCTCAAAGTGATTACTGTCTGTCTTTATTGAGACATATGGAGTGAAACAACATATTGTTGGGTAAGGTTATGATCCAAGGCTGGATTTTTAGTGTTTGTGTTTTCTGTTTCTGTTATTACAAATGTCAGTGGGATTTTGAATCAGGTTTTCTTACTTCAGGAACAGAACTCACAAGTTTTGGTTTCACTCTGTCTCTGTGGTGGCAATGGGGAGGGGGGAAGATTATGTTTCACACCTCTCCAGCATCCTTAATATTTTCTCATTGACTAACAGAAAAACTGCACCCTCACCTCAGATAAAATTAATAATAATAATAATAATAATAATAATAATAATATTTAACCTTAAGCACTTTTCAAACCTCAGTTAGAGAATATATTTAAAGGTCCAGGTCTTTGGTTTGTCTCTTCTGGACTACAGACATGGCGGTTCAACATGGTGGACTCCACTGAAGGCGACCAGCAGTGTCAGTGTAAAAACAACCCATATTAGGGTAACAAAAACAACTATTCTTATTTGCAAGTGATTCTACACTAATGAAAACATACCTATGAATATTATATCCAAGTTCTGCCAGTAGAGCCTCCGACGTGTTACACACTGGACCTTTAAAACTAAACAAACAAAAACTAAACACAAAGAGAAGAAATCAAAGTGACGTGATTTAAATACCTCCATCAGGCCTGTCTCTTCCATTTTGACTCGGTGTCCCTCCTCCCGCGGCTGTGACGTCAGCAGCGGGGGGTGGCAGTGTGTGTGTCCTCGCGCTGCTGCCTCTCGTGCAGCCAGTGTTCGTCAGACAGTCGGGAGAGTCACAGGGCTTCACGCGCTGCAGCGCTGAACACGAATCTATCCGGATTATTCTGCCGTTCAAACTCGGATATCGTTCACAAATTCGTCGCTGTGCAACAATGTGGAGAGGTTTCAGCAGCTCGGGAGCGCGGACAGGTGAGATATAGAAACTATTTCACACAAATATCCTACATTGGCTGACTTTGTTGGAGCGGCACCAGTCCTTTGAAGATGTCGCCGCCAAGCGCACTATCAAGAGACGATTAATGTACTTTTTACTGAATTTTAACTAAACTGTTAGTCGATGTTTGCTGCTAAAATGTATTAAAAATATCCGAAAGCATCTGTTATAGCATCTTTTATCTGTGTTTGAGGCTGTTTTCAACCGAATTAAAAACGGGACCTGCAGTGCCTGTTGGCGTAACTAGCATGAGTTGAGTCTACCGAAAGCCAGAACAGCCATTGCAGGATCTTTCTGATCCCCGTTCTTCCAGTTCTGTGCGGGATTGAGCTAGAAACAGAAAGCACTACAGCTGCTGACAATGCCTTCTGCCGTGCAAATGCAATGGCTCTCCATTCACTGTGCAGTCCGTCAGGACAAAAGCTTGCCAGCAGTTCACAACAAAAGTATTTTAACCCTTTTTTACACAAGATTACCACTTCAACCAAGCATGTATATAATTATACAATTTCCCTGTAGCACAGATTTATAAAAAGGGTCAACCTTGCAGCCTATATTTAACCCACATTAATATTCTTAAAAGTCTCTAAATGCAGCATATATTTATCATTGGTGCCCTTCTCATGGTCAGACTGTTTTGGAGCTGCATTAAGACTCAAACAGTCAAATTACTGACAGACCTGTGCCCTTGTAAAATAGCTGACTCATGTTTTCCTCCCCCTCTCCTTTTTTCTCTCAGATCCTCAGTGACTGCGGTCGGTCCCCCAACCACCCTCCTGCACCAACCATTGAAGTGAGTCCAGGAGTGTGAACCGCTCTCCTGCTAGACCGGCTCCTCCCTGTCCCTCACGCTACCTTCAAAGCGTCTCCTGACACACACTTTTTGCTGCCAAGGACACAGAAGGCAAGTGAGACAAGGGCCTAGGAAAACAGCAAGATAGTTGGAGTTATAAAGGAAGACCTGCGAAAGGAAACAATTTAGTGGTAGAGGGATTATTCCACTTTTTAGGACCTAAACATGGGGAACCAGTTAACAGAAATTGCCCCCAACACCCCGTTCCTGCCCAGCTTCCAGTCTTTACACGTTGTGGTGATTGGGTTGGACTCAGCAGGGAAAACCTCCCTCCTCTACAGACTCAAGCTGCGGGAGTTTGTTGAGACAATTCCCACCAAGGGCTTCAATATGGAGCGGATTAAAGTGCCCATGGGCAACTCCAAAGCCAACACCACCACGTTCCAGGTGTGGGATGTCGGCGGTCAGGAGAAACTCAGGCCCCTTTGGAAGTCGTACACCAGGAGGACCGACGGGCTGGTGTTTGTGGTGGACGCGGCCGAAACGGAGCGCATGGAGGAGGCCAAGGTGGAGCTCCACAGAATCACCCGGTCAGCGGAGAACCAGGGGGTGCCCGTACTGGTTCTGGCAAACAAGCAAGATCTAGATGGAGCCGTGTCAGCTTCAGAGGTAATTATTGTTACAAGAATGGCTTGGTATGGCTTTATAGCGCTTAAATTACGTTTCAGTTGATTGGTTGACAGAAACTTGGGGGAGGGGTGCTACAGTGCTTGCTCTTACCCAGAGATCAATTATATTGGCGTTTCTTTTTCGCTTTTTTTGAATGATTGTTCTGTCTATAAAATGTCAGGAATACTGACAGTGTCCATCCCAGTTTCTCAAAGTCCCTAGTGTCAGCCCAAAACCCATCTGCAGTTTAATAACAGGGAAGAGCAAGTTATCACCATATTAGAGAGGCTGACAACAGCATTTTCTGCCAAAGATGAATTAAACGATTATCAAAATAGTTGGCAATTATTTTTCTTTTGATCAACTAGTCGATTAGTTGATTAATCGTTGCAGCTCTATGGGGAACCTGCAGCATTAGCAGGTGGGATTTTCAGGGTAAACAGGAGCGCATCTAGAGAAATATTCATAGGCTGACCAGAGGGTGACAGTGGAGATTTAATCATAAACAACCACATGTATCAATTTATACCAAGTGACGATATTTAAACATTACATTATTATGGCACACTAGCACACAACATTTCTTTAAACAGATCATTAAATTAGTGCTCTAAAAAATGACAACAATTGACGGATTATCAAAATAGTTGACTAATTTTAATAGTTGACAACTAAACCATTAATCGACTAACTGTTGCAGAAATTGACTTTAGAACTGCAATGACTTTGCTCATTAATGGTTTAGTCTTTAAAATGGCAGAAGATAGTGAAACATGTCCACCAGAGTTTCTCTAAAACTAAACTGGTTAAATGTACTGGGGAGGAGAGTTGTCTAAAATAAGTTAAACATCATATGGAACTAGTTTTTCATAGATAGATAGATACTTTCTTTATCCCGAGGGAAATTCAAATTCAAGAAAAATTCATACTGAATGTCCCCCATTTAACCCTAGTGAGCATGAAATCATGTTTTAAGATCCATCATTGGAAAAATAACAAAACCTGAGACTGTTTATGTTATTGATGGTCAGATTTGCTGTGTCAGGCTGTGACTGACGTCCCCTCTCGTGCCTCTGTGTTTCAGGTGGAGAAGGTGCTGGCTCTCCATGAGCTCAGCTCGTCCACACTGCACCACACACAGGGCTGCTCAGCGCTGGACGGCCAGGGCCTTCAGCCCGGCCTGGAGAAGCTCTACGAGATGATCCTGAAGAGGAAGAAGATGCTCCGACACAGCAAAAAGAAGAGATGAGGCGGAGGATTGCAGCGGTTCTGGGGATAGAGGTGACTTTTTGAACCACTACTTGTCTGAGGACCTTCTCAGCAGACACGTCTGTGACACGTTGGGAACTTGAGTGGGTGAAACCAGAGGGGGGGCCTGTTGGGATGTCTTCAGCCAACAAACTGTGGCTCTGAAGTCCGTGCCAAATGTTAACACCTTCCTCCACCCTCCAGACATCTGGGCAGAGCTGCTTCCTCTGGGATTGTTTCTGCTCCTGAGCACTCTTCCCTCTCCTCATCTCCCACCCTTAAATGAGCACAGAGGAGAGACACTCAGCTCCAGAGGGAAGGACAGAGGAAAACCTGTGCAATATACAATGAACACTCACTGATGCACTCACTCCAATATTGAAGGATTTTTTGTACACCTTATACAAACTGTTGTGCCAACAGAGACCTGCAGGCCTGGCCCAAGCATAGTTCCTGTTCCTTTCACTAAGTTTCAATGTCACACTTTACTCTAAATCTTTATGTTGCATGATGTTCACCCAAGTACCTGCTTGGAAATATTAGGACGACGCTTTTGTTGATCAGAAGAGGACTGTTCAGATTATTCTAGGTTAGTTAGGTATGTGATTGGGACTACAGCTACAGACTGACACACTGAGTCCAGCCATGCAAGTTTAGATTGTTTTTCACTCTCCACCAAAGTTGTTTGCCTGTCTCAGTTGGGTGTGTTTCAGGGTTGACTGAATGGTTGGTTGGTAAGTTCAAACAAGAAGTTGTTTTTACATTGTGTACATTTTGTTTTGTAAAATGTCAACATATGAATAAATTATTGAGCAACTTTGGCATTACTTTCTGGAAACTGGTCTCTTTTGTTCTAAGGGCTGTTCATCACACATTGATTTAAGACAGCTTTGGCTAACCTGAGTTGTAGGATTTCAAAGTCACGATGCATTATGGGAAATGGGCAGACATAAAAGACTAGTAAAGCAGATCATTACATTAATTTCCTTAAAACGTCCTCAAATGAAAGAAACCAGAAAATGTTCACCTTTGAGAAGCTTAGCAGAATCACTTTCATTCAATCATTGGACATTTTTCTTAAAAAAACTCAAAATAATGGATCTGTTATCAGAATATTTGACTAGTAGTTGACAACTAATCCGTTTAATCGACTAATCGTTGCAGAAATTAACTCTAGAATAATTTTGTCATTAATGGTTTATTCCTTAAAATGGCAGAAGATAGTGAAACATGTTCGCCGCAGTTTCTCTAAGCCTAAACTGATCTCTTCACATGGCTCAACAAACATGAAGTGGTTTTTACATTGTGTACATTTTGTTTTGTAGAATGTCAACATATGACTAAATTATTGAGCAACTCTGGCATTACTTTCTGGAAACTGAACTGAAAATCTGAACTGAAAGTTCATCACGCAATGTTTTAGGACGGCTTTGATTAGCCTGAGTTAGTGCCTGACAGGTGCAGACTAAGTGTTGTTCAAACACGTTTTTAAGTACAGTGGGGATACTCCCGCATTTCACAAGCTGGAACCTGGAATAATCACTGCCAGGATGAAATGGGACGGTGGAGAATAATAATTAGTTTCTCCAGTGAGAGAATGAATAAGACTATTCTGTTCACTGTTAATCTGTCAATCTTAAGTATAGACAGTTAACCCCTAACCACCCTAAACTATGGGGGCACCCTGACAACAATCACTTTTAGTATTTTGGGTCATAAATTAGTTATTTATACCTGAGAGTTAAGTTTCTTTTTCTTTTCTTTCATCAATGAAAAAACTTCATATGAATTTTACCAGCAGAAGGTAAAGTGAGTCGAAGCAATCGACAGTGGGACCAACCATCTGTCCATAAAACCTTCTGGGGTGCAAGAACTTTAACTTTTATTTAATTTCACGTTGTTTTTCTAGTTATTTACAGACCTGAACACACATGAATATCAATACACAGTGCTGTATGTGCGTACTGTGGGGGCTACTGCAGCTCAGCCAGTGAATATTATCCAGTTTTACAGCTCCTCCTCGTTAATATGGATTGCATGAATATAAGATGGCGATAGATTGTCAGTGTGTTGCCATTCATTGTCACATTGAGGCTTACAGATACAGACATTGGCAGGGTGACTATGGGGAGTTTGGAGCAGGCAGCTTGTAGGAGTATTTGTTGCCGTATGGGCATCAAACAGGTTCCATGTGTCCTCAGGGCCTTTCATCAGTAGGTCATCCCATTATTTCTCCCCCACACCTCTCTGTTATTACCCTTCTCCCTTTTCTGTGGCTCAGCTCACTCCCCCCTCACTCTGACATATCGTGGTATCGAGTGCTCTGGCTCATATCGCTGACCTGTTTGAGGTGGCTGTGCCCTCAGGAGCCCTTCCACTGTGAAACAACTGTCTGCTTATATTTCACCTTTCATGATGTCAGGAGCTCAGGTCGATACCAGACTACATTTGGTGTGGGAATGTGAAGGGGTTTATGTGATACATACGTCCATTTTATTCACTGTAGGCACCAAATGGATTCCTGTTTAACGTGTTTATTTGCTCTGCTTTGATGTAGCAGTATACTAAAGCTGCAGTCACAGTCGTTGTCCAAATACTTCAAACTGTCCCTCCTTGAAGCATTCATAGTGCTGCACTCACAAAAGTCTGAAAGTACTCAAACCCTGTTTACTATCACATCTGGATTATCGCTATTGAGTGGGCGTGCAACTATTAATACATTCCCACGCATTCATAAGCTTGCCAATAACTACTGTACCAAACTTCCCTTTAAAAAGTCTTGCATTTGCTATAACAATCTATCCCAACCACCTCCTTCAGTGGACTGTCTGTCTTTACAGGATGTCTCCTGACACAGATGGGTTGCATTGGAATTAGATAAAGGCCCAGTTTGTCTCATACAGACGCTAAACGGTACCTTGTGTGCCGGTATTTGACACCCGGGAATGACTGGAACTGATGGCCAGCGCTACAACAGTAGAACCCATACTAATAATAAATTAACCAGTTTCCCCCCTTATGACAGACAGCTGAATAACAGCTGAACCCAGTGAAAGGTATATCTTACTTTCTTGTTAGTCACATATTAGAGCTTTGATCCAAACCCGAAAATATTCTGTGCAAGCCCAAACCACAGAAGCCATTTTGGGCCAGAACCCGATCCCGCATAAATAAATAAACAATATAAATAGTTTATTACAAACAAAAAAAAATACATTGTGCATGTAATTTAGCGCAAATTATTATCAAAACTGATCAATAACAAATTCACTCATTTAATCACAACAATTATTATTAAGAAAATCTTAAATATATATATACTTAAATCTAATTCTGTCCGAGCCTGAACCCAGCAGGTTGTGTCAGATCCAAACGGGTTTGAACAGAGAATCAAAGCTCTTTCAGATAAGCACTGATATAACATTAGTTTGAATAAATATAAAGTATGGCACTTCTTCAGCCGAGGGTCTCCAGTCGTGAGTGTTACAGTCCACAATGGCCCACGCTGGATTAAGGTCAGTAGTCCTAAACTCTGTGTGTCTATTGACAATGAATGGAAGAGGAAAATGAAGACACTGCGAGGCTGTTTGCGTATGTTGCTTTGAGTGTGTGGATTTATGGTGATATTTGTTCATTGTGCGCAGAATAACAAGACTCAAACATGAGAGGTTTGGCCTTTCATGAATATTTGAAGGAGAAATGAAAGCAAGGTTGTGGGCAAGGTAGACTTCAAACAAACATATTGTACGCACACAAACAGTCTCTTGCTCTCTCTCTCTCTCTCTCTCTCTCTCACACACACACACACACACACACACACACACACACACGCACAATAGAAATCAATAATAGTGGGATGTATACTGCTACAGTGCCATAGAAAATCAGTGTTCTACTCCATAGCCTTTGTTGTTTTAAAGCAAACATTTGTAAGCCATGTAAATGTGAGTTGGAGATACTATCATAATCTATAGTATAGGATTAGAGATAAGTCCTACAAAGACCTATGTGCTAACTATGAACTTAAATATATCCTTGTGATCCAAGTAAATCGAAATTTTAGCTCATGATGGCAGGAAACTAAAACTCTGCACCCTGCAAACAATGAACCTTAATAAGCCAAAAGGAGCTCCTGTGTGATAGCTATCAGTTGTTCATCACTGCTATCAGTGCTGCCATGTTATAATAGTGATCCTGTGGATTTCAGCCGGTGAAGATCAGTCACACAGGAATGTTAAAGTCCCCCCAGCCCCCACCCACATGACTTGTCTGGGATGTTCTCTGATACCAAGCGCTGGTAAACCCCCCCCAATCACTTGACTGTGATACTATAGTAGTACTCATACATGTGACCCTGTCTGACTGGGGGCCACACACACTGTTTTTACATCTTTTATGTCATCAGGGGGGCATTAAACCTGCAGCTAATTTAGGAGCTTTAGTAGCCTTTAGAACAAAATAAAAATAAAGGACTAAATTGCTAAAATGTCTCAAAGTAAGTATCCTTCTATGGTTATAGCTGAAGTTAAGATTAAAGCAAACCTTCATACGCACATTTTACACGGCTTGTTCAAGGCTGGATTGTTGTACCATTATTCCACCTCGCCGTTCTGTATAAAAGGTACAAAGATGGAAAATGCCATCTTGGTTCAAAATTAACATTTTTGTAGAAAGGGTTAGCATGAAATGTGAAAAAAAAGAAAAAGTGACAGAATAGTTGTGTAAAGGAGAAGACAGAGAGCTCGAGTTCAACCCCTGGCTCCTTTCTCACCGCCACACAGCAGGCCAGTCACAGTGTGAAGTGTGTGTGAATGTCAGATCTTCAGTTCGGGAAAGTTAGAGAAATAGTTGTACAGGGACCCCACCCTAATCCAACATCTGAAATGTGTGTGTGTTTGTGTGTGTGTGGGGGGGTGTTAAGCGGCTGTAAGATTTTGTTTTTCATTGGAATTACAGTGAAAAAAGAATAAAATAACACCAGACTTGTGTAATTCTTTAGGTATGTAAACAGAGAAATTTCTGTTCATCAAATGTCCCCGCATTCCAGTTTCACACATCATTTTCACTTTTTATCAAAAGCAGTTTTGCTTCAGTTCACAGATACAGATAGTCATAATAATACAACCACCAAAACCAGGCTTAGTGAATTCCAGTACTGAGCTCTACTTTGTGTCTTTGTTTCTCCTTCGCCACCTGCAACCGCTTCTCATGCTGATACACAATATACTATGATATAACTTTCTATTGGCATGCCACTAATGTAAGTGATACCTCCATGCACCCATTCCAAGAGCTGTAGATACTGAAGGTTAATGCCCAACCCCCACCATTCAGCCACTTGCCATATGCTAAAACCTGCAGCCTAATCCCCAAGTCCACTTTATACCCAGAGCCATATGTTATAGGTGTTCTTCCTGCTCTCTTTCTCTCTCTCAGGAGCCTCTGAATGCTGGTACACTAAATATGACACTAGTCAGGGTAAATCTGGCATTTTACACGTGACACCTGGTTGTTTCACCCAGACCTCAAATGTGTGCTTTTTGTTTGCTATGGATTATTTAAAAAATAATTTCTTTGATTTCATGTTCTCAAATTCTGCTTGTTAATTTTAGTACATTAAGTGAGACTCAGGTTGGGAAGTTCTACCTGGAAGATTAACAAACAAGCATCATTCCAACATCTGCATGAATCCTTCAGTACAGGCAAAAGAATCAATAATTAAAATTTGTTTCCTCACTCGCCAGCACTGGTGATTCAGGTTTCATTAGCATTTACAAGGTTGAAAGCGCAAATAGTATCAGTGTTATGAGACAAAAGAAAGTTTGTT